CCGTTCTAGAAAAATACTTTGGCGACGACTATGAATACTTCAACCTATTGTCTTGGAAACAGACAAATAAAGTTTAATTGCGCAAAAATGATAAAACTAACCATTATAACACATTTTTTTATAAAAAAATATCATTTATGCACATTTTTTTTTGCTTTGTTTCACTATTAGAAAAACATATCCTAATAAAATAATGTATTATTTTATTAGGATATGTTTTTCTAATAGTGAAACAAAGCAAAAAAAAATGTGCATAAATGATATTTTTTTATAAAAAAATGTGTTATAATGGTTAGTTTTATCATTTTTGCGCAATTAAACTTTATTTGTCTGTTTCCAAGACAATAGGTTGAAGTATTCATAGTCGTCGCCAAAGTATTTTTCTAGAACGGTAAGTAATTTTTTTTTGAAATCATACTGTAATGAACACCTTACTTTAATAATTTTCAACCTGGAAACTACTATTTTACCGGAATAGTCCGCTGAATATGGTTTTACCAGTCCTGTAAAAACAAGAAATTGAAATCCACCAAACTTTTCCATACCTTTCTCGCGACACAGAAGGTAGCAAATTGTCACAATACGCTTTAGTGGCATGGTTAATGTTATTGTCACACTCTAAATCACTTTCGTCAATACGAAATTTACAACAAATTGTAAACCCAAACGTTGTAATTACAATTGAAAAATTTTTGTTGACTGATTGTTGAGGTAAGACACGGGCAATATTATTACTTCAAAGCCTACCGCAGATTTTAAAACAATAAATTCTTTTGTTAAAAGTGAAAAATTTACGATTACAAAAAATAGTTATTTGTACAACTACTTTTGAAAGTCAAACTTTTTTTCACGAATTTGCAGTTGATTAACGAGGGCTCTGCCCGAAAGAATGCATAAAAGGACTTTCAAAACGAGTTGTACACAACATTTTTTTGCATAGTGATAACCCCAAGAACCAGAAAAACCAAAAAGATATCAATTTAATAAATCAAATCGTAATGTATCGCGAGCTCTTTGTAACGAACTCAATAAAAACTTATAGAACTAACTATAGACATACAAGGTGCGTCAGAACTCGCGCCCCAGAGAAAAAATTCTAGTAAGATAAGATACCAGGAACACAAAAATTTCGTCAATAAAAGCCACAAATAACATTAAACAGAGATACAATTTAGGTTACAGCTTCCCTGTTTCCTCTTTTAATAGCTTGTAGCAAAAAAAAACTGGAAAAGTATTTTTCTATTTCGGTGTTAGAATAAGACTATTCCAGCACCCAAATGACGTCATTTGCGAATAAGTCGTTCGCGGTAATTTAATTTTAGTGACGGACTTTTTTCACAATTCATTTCCAAATGTGAAAATAAGAATTATTTTTATTTTTTACAGCCGTCTAAAATTATTCCACACATAAATGTCGCCAACCGTCGCAAAATTCTCTAGAAAAAAAAAATTTCGTTTTTTAATTTATAAAATGATATAAAGCGGCGAAATAGAAAAAATAGTATAAAGCACTTGTTGCAGAAGGTTCTTCAAGCACTCATTTGTTCCTCAACTCGCCGCTTCGCGGGGCTCGTTTCGGAATTTCAAATTTGTGCTTGAATGGATACCTTCTGCAACTTGTACTTTAATATACTATTTTCCAACAGAAATAACTAGAGTCAAAGTGTAAAATTTAAACTCTCATAACTTCGAAATTTTTATATACAGGCTGCGCCAGAACTCGCGCCCCAGAGAAAATTTTCAAGTAAGGTAAGATACCAGGAACATGAAAAAAATGTTTAAAAAATTCTATCTAATTTTGACATTTATTTTTTGACATTTGACATTTTTTTATATCTATTTAATGATACTGATAATCTTGTATATGTTTTTTTACAATTATTTAGTAAAGGGACAAAAATTTTGCCAATAAAAGCCACAAATGACATTGAACAGAGTCACAATTTAGGATACAGCTTCCTTGTTTCCTCTTTTAATAGCCTATAGCAAAAAAAAACTTGGAAAATTATTTTTCCAACAGAAATTAATAGAGTCAAAGTGTAAAGTTTAAACCCTCATAACTTCGAGTGCGCGAGTTCTGGCGCACCCAATATAACTATAGAAAATCGTTTAAAAAAGTATAACTTTCTAATTTCTATACGATTAATCGTAATGAAATTTCAACTTTCATAATCACTATGCAAAAAAAAATATTGTACGCACCACGTCCCGTCCGGAGAGTGCTTTTACTGGCCTCGTAAGCTACTAGAGACTCGTCTACGACTCTTCCTGGTATTTGCTTACTCGTCTAGTAAAAGCTAACTTAGCTACGTAAATATCTACTGTTAGTTATTTTATAACAAAAATTAACAAGTTACCGATCTCTGACAATAATTGTTTCAATGGACAAAAATGTCCTTACCGTTCTTGATGTTTCGTATTTATAATAGAAAAGTAAAATTGTCCAGAAACATAGGATGCTACCTAAAAATGCTAAAATTGATTTCTTAAGTACTGGGTGGTTAGAATAAAAACGAATCCTCACATCTACAAAACGTGCTATTTCAAGCATTTTGTGTTTTTGCTTTTTCGGAGACAATGGATTAAAAATTATACCTGCCAAATTACAATTACTATAAAAAAACAAAGAAATGACATTTACATCAACTAAAAAAACTCAATACAAGAAACATTTTGTTATCATGCATTATGGTACATACGGTACTTTTAATCCGTGTTTAAATCGTTCTTCTTTTTAAATTTATATAAATAAGTAGCTTCGATTTAAACTTATTAAAAATTATTAACTTTTCTAGTTGATAAATGTTTGTAACCAAAATAATTTTCACTCCGAATGCAAAAATTGATATTTGTTTTTTACCACCCGGTGCAATTCACTTTTCTTAAATAACAATAAGCATTTATTTAGATTGTTTTGAAATTATTTTTTCCATTTGATAATTTCAGAGATGACCATTTTGGGGCACTGCCGACACGCAGATTGCAATTTTCAAGCTGTTAGGTCATAACAGTTACTTATAATGCGTTGCACAGGTGTAGGTATTCTACTATTTGGTGTGTTAATGAATTTCCATTTCAAATTTTGAGTAACGTTTGCAAATTTCCAATTTGGCAAGCAAAAATTGACACCAGATTAGCATTTTAAATTCAGTTGCAAATGGCATAAATTACTTCCAGATTCATATTGGCCTTTTTTCACAAACCAACGTGGCCATTAACATGGCAGTAAGTCGATAATGAAGTTATCCGTTCACATATTTCCCACTTAGTCTAATTGACCGTTAACGAGTACGTTTTTGTCGGGAAATATTCGGATACAGATACTTTCAATATAGCAGATATCCGTTTTTCCAGCATGTTGGAGTTTTTTTTTTTGTATTCGTTCACACGTTACGACAAAATCAGTTTGTAGAAATAAATATTCGGTGTGAATTTCAGCTAAATTGTATGAAATATTACTCCCTATACGAGGAATACAAATTGAATTCGAATTATTTTCGCTAGGATTGACTATCTACATCATTTCTTCATCTATAAATTAATATGTATGTACTTAATTACCTATATTATATAAATTTTGTAAATATCATGTTTTTCAACCAATTTTGCACATCATTATTAATAAAATAAAATAGATAATTACATAAAATGTACCATATAATAAAATTATAACAAATAACAGCACATTTTACATACATATTATTATTATAAATATAACACATACAAGTGAACAAAAATTGAGAGTTCAAGCACTTTTTAAAAAAATCATTTGCTTCCAGAAATTAATAATTAATAAAAATTAAAGTGCTATAAGACCTATAAGTGATTGTGTTTTGTACATACACTTTTGTTTTGTTTTTAATTTCTTCCAATTGGTGACTTATATGAAGATAAAAATTGAATAAAATGTAGTCAAATTTAAAAAAAGTGGTCGACAATGTTACTTCAAAAACTATTAAATAATAATTAAATAATTAAATTTATGCCAAAATACCGATCACTTTTTTTTTAATTCGACTGTAGATAAGTAATTTTTAGTTTATAGTTTTTTTGAAAAAAGATTTTATAGTGGGTTGCCATTAAAAAAAAAATTATCAACTAATTTCAGTAAATAAAGTACTCATTCATCGTCTGGTGAAACAAAGTAATTTTTATTTACTGTTTATTTTTATCAACTAATTTTAGTAGATTAAGTAGTCTTTTATCGTCTAGTGAAATAAAGTAATTTTTATCTACTGTTTATATTTAAGAAATTCTGGTATGTGAGTACAAAATAAAACGAATTATTATACACGACGATATAGATTGTTTATCTACTCGTGAAAAAAGTCCACTCGTTTCTTCGTCACTCGTAAACTGAACGTTTTCACTCGTAAATAAACAATTTCTTTATCGTCTTGTATAATAAATAACTATTTTTAACAAATAAATATAGATTAAACAAAAAACGTTTGGTTCCATACCGTTATTCACCTGGTACGAAAAACTGAAAAATAATAATAATTATAAAATTGTGATAATTAAATAATATTATAATTATTATTTAATTTCAAAAAGCAGTTCTTTAAAAAACTTGGAATATTGTTAGGACATGACTTAATATTAACAAAATTCATTTTAATAACATCAACACTAATAACTTAATTATTAAGTTGCAAAGGGAAAGATCTGTAATGAAGCTAGATTAGGGAATTTAACGTGTTTTTCTTACATTAATCTCATTTCAAACAATTCATCAACATCATTAGGTACTTGATAGCAATTAATGGTGAATCTTGCCTGAGTGGAGTGTAAAAGTTGTGGAAATTATTTGTCAGAGGATTCTGTTTTGAATGATTGTCTGCCAAATTGTTTCTTCGTCTTTTGCCGGGTCAAATAATAACAATTTATCCAGCTTGTAATTAGAGTTGTATGTGGAAAATCCTAAATATCCTTATTTAAATTGTGGGTTGCCTATCAATATCTTACTTTTTTATTTTTTATTATAAAAGTATTATTTTTTGTCTGTGCAAATAAAAGAATCATAACTTAATAACATTCAACACAAGCATTAATTAAAAGCATTGTAACTTATGCATAAAGTCCCCCGGTTCTTCAATTTAAAATTTCGCGTTTTCAGCATATCGTACGACCTTCAGGTCAGTTGTCAATTGTCGATTTTTGAGGTTAAGTAATTGAAGTTTTGTTTTATCTCTCTTATTCCATGTTTTTGCCACATTTTGTTAATTGAACTGGTTTAAAGCTATTGTTCAGTAATATTTATTCAAAATCTGTCACTATCTATATCTTACCTTATTAAATATCGTTAGACAATGGACAGTGGCATAAGTGTTAACAATTTCAGCAATGTTTGTCGCACTTGTCTTGTTGAGAATGTTGAATTGAAAGATATTTTTAGTTTGTCTGTTGATAAGATGTTAAAAGAATGTACCTCAATACAAGTAAGTTACATTTTTAATTGATTTTCAATTAATTATTAAAATTGTAGCTACAATCTGGAGACGGTTTACCAGAATTTATTTGTGAATCATGTATAAGCAGAGCCACTGAGGCTTATTCCTTTAAATTATTATGCGAAAACAGTGACCAGACTTTAAGAAACATTGTCCAAAACTCTTTACTAAAGGACGATAAAGAGAAAATGGCCGTTTTAGATAATTATGATGAGTGTAGCAATGCTGATGAACCATCACCTGAAACAATTAGAGATGATGATAAAGAATATTTCACCAATTCTCAAGATAATCTTAATGATCATTCCTACTTTGCCGACGTCACAGTTAAAAATTTAAATGAATTAGAAGGTAATTAAAAAATTAACAATTCAAGGTTTCATTTATAAGTTGCAGATATTGAGTGCAAGTTATGTAGTCAAACTTTACGCAAGAACGAAGAAAAAAACCACATGGAATCTTATCATATCGGTGATAATTACCACATATGCAACAAGTGCAAAAAAGAATTCACCGATATAAAATTATTAAAAAGGCACATGAGGACACACAAGTAACCCAATCATATTCAAAAAGAAACATAAATCTAACTCATGTTTGTAGGTTAAAGAAAAATCACAATTGCCCTACTTGTGGTAAAAGTTTTTACGGCGCTAATGACCTAACAATCCACATAAGAGTCCACACTGGAGAAAAACCCTTGACTTGCACAGTATGTTCCAAAGCCTTCGCCGACCCTAGAGGCTTAAACAGCCACATGAAAACCCACACTGGCAAAAAACCATACACGTGTAATACCTGTGGGAAAAGCTTTGCCCACTCTTTTGTTCTCACAACACACAAGAGGACTCATACTGCTGAACGGCCTTACGTGTGTTCCTCTTGTGGCAAAACTTTTATTTATTCCCATAATTTGGCCATTCATATGAGGTCACACACGGGGGAAAGGCCTTACCAGTGCCAACAGTGTTACAAATCGTTCAGTTCAAGTTCAACACTTTCTGCTCATATGATGACGCACACGGGCGAGAAGAGGTTTGTTTGTAGCGTTTGTGGGAAAAAAGTGGCGAGATCGGGGGATTTGGCAATACATATGAGGATACATACGGGGGAGAGGCCTTATTCGTGTACTTTGTGTTTTAAGCAATATCGAATGTCGTCTCATTTATCGGCGCACATGAAGTCGCACACAGGGGAGAAAAATCATGTATGCAGCACGTGTAATAAAGCCTTTAGTAATGCGAGGATTTTAAGCTCTCATATGACTATTCATACAGGGGAGAAACCGTACACTTGCACAGTTTGTAACAAGTCGTTTGCACATTATAGTTCCTTGTCTACTCACAGAAAAATTCATATGCATGACAAAAATCTAAAAAAGTAATAACTGTTTATATTATTTTATTGTAACATGTGCAGATATAAATAAAAGTATGTTTATAATACGTCTTTGGTTATGGTGTTACAACTCGCCATGTATTGCTTCATTTGGGGAATGTTGTTCATTAGTTTCGACAAAATAGCTTTGAAAGAAAATCATTTGGGTCACCCAAGACACAAGTCCAAGAATAACAGTTGTATTAAAAAGGGAAAGTAGCGACAATAACAACAAAATTACAATGTCTGAAATTATTATTAAGGAATAATACCCAGAAATTTATGAGTGGTGATAAACACCCAAGGTATTTGTAATCTAAACAAACTACAAGTACCACAACCCAATTTTTCTAAAAAGGATACGAAACATTACTCTCTCCCATTTTTCGACCATATACAATTCGGTGACCAGAAGGTACCGAAAATACCAATAATTTATGAACCCAACAATGCCTTTTCCCATTTTTTTCCACTTAAAACCCTTTTAAAGACGACACGAATTTTGAGGTTAAACACTTGCACTTGTCAAATCTAGTAACTTTGAGAAAAATTGTCGGCCCTGCTAAACTAACTAACAAAATGGCCACCTTGAGCGATGGCGTCATTGATTGTTCTCCTTCCAAAAAACCAAAATTGGACGAAAACTCTGAAAAATGTAAAGACGGCATTCATGAAACCCTCGCAGACTTGTCAACATTTCAATTAGAAAAAGTCCTACACAATAATACAAACCGAAAAACTGTGTGCCTTAAAGGAAAGTTCGCCTCCAAAAATGGGGACGCTTTAGTGCTTCTAGAGAAAACAGCTTTTGCCGAGGAGAATCTCAAAGAAGACAGTGACTATTTTACAAAGTATAGTTCATTGGAAAAAGTGTTTCATAACGACATTTACGGAAATTACAATTATTTCCCTAAAATTAACCTCAACTGTATGACATAACCTCATTTTTTTCAAATGATGAGTGTGTTTTGTAGCAATTAAAGCCACGATTATACATCCGGCCACTGAAGAGCATTTTGTGAAGTATTCGCAACAGAATTGTTGCATCATTGACGAAACTCCGGAAATTTATCAAAAAATTGTCTTGCCTCATATCACTTCACAGCAGTTTGATTTAGCCGTATGTTTAAATACGTTTTGTTGCTTTCAAATGTAATGCAAGTGTTTTAGTGGGTTTACAACATTTTGGAACGCAAATCAGAGTCTGATAGAATAGTTTTTGAAGACTCGGATCCAAACACAGGCTTTATTTTACTACCTGACTTGAAGTGGAATGGTGAAGTTGACACACTTTATTTGTTAGCTGTTGTCCACAAGCGTGATATTAAATCGCTGCGGGATCTAACAGGGGCCCACTTGCCATTACTCAAAAATATACAAAAGAAGGGCATTGTAAGTTGTTACAAAACGTAATTATGTAATATCAATTTTTGTATGTTTTAGGAAGCCATCAATTCAAAGTATGGACTTGATGGCACCCAACTGAGAATATATCTGCATTACCAACCATCATTTTACCATCTACATGTACATTTTACTTATATAAAACATGAAGCACCTGGAATTTTGGCCGAAAGGGCTCACTTATTATCTAATGTAATAAGTAACATTGAATTGTTGCCAGATTATTACCAAAAAGTGACTCTACCGTTTGTCGTCAGGGAAAACGATAATTTGTACAAAAAACTTAAAGTTTAGTCATGGACAAAAATATTTACAAAACTGTAATTTTAGAAATCAGGCCGCGTTTGCAGTCTGTTAATGTTGTAATCAATTTAATATCACCCATTGAGGTCAGCAAAATATCCCTCAATGAGGACAATTTTCAGATTATTGTTGATGAACACGTTCATACTGTTTGTTGCAAGAATTTAAAAATTGTTGTGAATTCGTTAAGCTCGTTAATTGTTACGCAAACATACATTTCGTTTCGTTTTGCTACTGTCAACAGTTCAGACGATTGGGGCAGTTTCAAAACGGAAGTTTTAAGAACCGTAGGTTCAAATGTGCACACAAACCTCGAAAATATTTTTCTAAATGTCTCAATGGAGTACGTAATTCAGTGTAAGAATTGTTCACATAATTTAAGCGAAAATGTGAAGTTTGAACGCATTTTACCCTTACCGTCGGAAAATTCCGACTCCAGTGACTGGTTTTGTCACTCTCATGGCAGCTCCAATGTTGCTGTTTTAAATCCCAAAGAATCCGATGTTTTCTATGGATCTTGTTACTGTCATTTAAGCAAACAATTGGTGCATAATGTTTTAGAAACTGAGAAATTGGTGGTTTGTAAGAGGTGTCTCTCGTGGTTAGGGCTGTTGAAAAATTCCGAAACTTTCAAATTTTGGTTCAACACAGTCGCGTTCAAGGATGAAACCATGGTTCATAGTACGTCCCCACTTAGTGATACTTTAATTGCTTTAAGGGAAATTTTAAACAGCATTCTTTTCAATACCGCAAAAATTGTTCTCTGTTGCCAAAGCGGTAAAAAACAAAACGATTACATCCTTCTCTGGATTTTAGAAAAACAGTTAAATGTACAGCTTGGGGTGAAAGATTATAAAGTGGCTAAAGTGTTGTTTAAATATGAAAACAATAAGAACGAAACTGTTAAAAAGTGGATGGAAGACAGCAATGTTGTGAGTGTTGATATTTCCAAACCTATGACTGTTGAGATTTTGAAGCATCTCTACAAATTCAATAAAATATTTCCACAGGAATTTAGTGAATCTAATAATTTTTTTATTTCGTATTTAATGATGTATGAACACGAAAAATAAATTTTCTAGAAAAAAACGTGTTTTAATGTTTAATCTACATTAAAAGAATATGATCAAATATATTCACCACAAAAATTACATAACAAAAACGTCCCAATCACATTAAAAGTAAAGAAATTAATTTATGCTAAAAACGATTCGTAAACATTTGCGCTCAATAATTGTAGTTTTTCATAAACAATTAATTGCTGCAAAAACTGATCAGGTAATGACTTTTTGGAAAAAAGGCCGTTCATTATCGGTAAAACTTTCGCCATTGGTTTTTTGACGTTGAAAGGATTCATAAACTCGTCACCTTCTGGAACTTTTTCGTGTTCTTTCACTCCATTACTTGTGTAATATTCAGATAATTGTTCTGCTAAAACCATGAATCCTCTAGTGATACAGTGGGTCGCTAAGGCTTTAACTTCATCACTGTTGAGAAGGTCCGCTGTCTCTTTTACCTTAAAATGTAATTAAATGACTGCTGCGTATTAATAGTGACCTAAAATTTACCATTTTTTCATATATTCCGTTAGAATTTGGGAGCTCTGGTAGCACATATTGACGTAAATTCTCAACAGGATTGTCATTATGTGTCGCAACGGCCGTTTGAATGGACCAAAACAGGGCCTCCAAGTCGCTCAATTTCAACTGTTTTGTCAAGTTAACAGGCTCTAGCACTTTCCTACACTAAAAATACAAATTCGTGGAAATAAACCCAACCTTTTCTACTCACATTTGTTTCTACTAATCTGCTTAACCTACTAAACCCTGTATCCATCAAGTTTTGGCAAAGGGACAAATACCTCTCCTGCATTTCTGAAGAGAGCGACGTGGGGTCCTTGTACAAATAGCCCCCGATTATACTCAACTGAATTTTTAAAGTAACCACCAGCATGACATTCGCGTAGATGGTACACGCGGCTTTGTTAAACACTAGGATTTTCAGTTCGTTCCAGAGAGCCAATTTATTTTCTGGGTTGGTTTTAAGTCGTTCTATGACTTCTTCAGTGTTGATGTTTCTCGAAATTGTTTCATTCAAAGCCACTGATAGGTTTAAAATCGTTTGGTTGCACGTCCTTCCTATACTTTCGAAATGTTGGTGCTTTCTGTTCCTGTCGAGAAATTCGAGTGCTTCTTTTTCTTGCCATTCTCTCAATTTCTGTTGGGCGTAGCGAGTGAGGAATATGGAGCCCCCAATTATGACGCCACCGATGATAAATTTATTACGGTGACGGCTGAAGAAGTTCTTCACTTTGGAAAACACGGACATTTTTATCAATTGCTAAACGATCATGTTTTGATCAAAGGTTTGCAATAACATAACCACAAATTTTACGTCAAATTTTGACACTTCGAGGTTATAGGTTAATTTTACGAATGAAATTTACTTATTTTTATTTTTTTAAGAAGATAATTAAAGTTTATGAAATATGAATTCAGATGTAACTGTTCTGCCAGGTATTTTAGAAATTGTGTTGAACATTGCATTAATTAGAAATAAACTTATTAGATTTTAATGCTGTTTGCCGCACTTGTTTACAAAGTGAGAGTAATTTAACGCCTCTATATCACTCCAAAGCCGCTGAAATGCTAATTTATTGCAATTTTTGCAAAGTAAGTAGGATACAACCGTTTACTTATTTCTAAAATATCAGTTAAAGGTTTTTGAAGATGATGGCTTACCTGACCAAATTTGTCAAACTTGCTTCGAAATGCTAGAAAAGTCTTTCAGTTTTAAGCAACTGTGCAAAAAATCTGAATCTGTTTTAGAAAAGGCTTTAACAAAAAATAATTCGGGCCAACAACCTTTATTTTCTAACGAATCTCAAGAGAAACAAACTTTTACATTAAAAAATCATCCAGAGGATTGTCACACTCAAGAAAGTTCATTAGACTCTAGTGATGACTTACGAAGGAATGAGATTTTTAACCAAATTACAGATTTACTTAAAAACGATGAAAATGCAGCTGATTTTTCAGAAGGGTATTGTGTTTTACACGTTTGATTCTTTTTTAACAAAATTCTTTAGAGAAGCACATATACAAGAGGATTTTATATCATTTTTGGATGAGCCTTTGCCGCCCCCCTTGCCATTTCAGTGTGACAACTGTAGTCACTCTTTCAATCAAGAAAATGACTTGAAAATCCACCGATCAATACACAATTCTGACTTGAGTTGTCTCGCATGTTCAAAAAAATTTAAGGGTTTGTGTGGCAAAAAATCTTTGTATATTTTAACAGTATTAGTTACAGGTCGGCAAAGTTTGAAACGGCATTTAAAAATACACCTAACTCAAAAACCACATGTTTGCAAAATTTGTAGCAAAAGTTTTTCTGAATCTTACGCCCTAGTTAAGCATTTGCGCCGTCATTCGGGCATTCCACGTGAAAAAAGACACATATGTGAAGAATGTGGACAAGGGTAATAAAAACTTAGCAAAATTTTATAATTTTTCGTAGGTTTTCAGAACCTTATTACCTGAAAGTGCACGTGCGGAAACACACAGGGGAAAGACCTCTCGCATGTCCTGACTGTGATAAAACATTTGCTGACCCAAGGTCTCTTAAAACGCACCTCATGATTCATAGTGGCGAGAGACCGTTCAAGTGCAACTATTGCTCGTAATTATAAATCTTTGCATAAAAACAGATGTGACTGCGGTTTTTACAGGAAAAGTTTTATTCAAAATGCGAATTTAACAAAGCATTTGAGAGTGCACACGGGTGAGAAGCCGTACGCTTGCGATTTATGTGATAAGAGGTTTACGCAATCTTCGAGTTTAGAAAAACACAAAAAAGTTCACAAGCGTAGCACTAGGTGAGTCATAATTGTTTAAATAATTGTACTAATTATTATTTTTAGTTTTGCGAATAAAAGCGGCTTGATGAAACACCTGCCGGTTCATACAAACGAAGAAAATGTGTCTTCTTGTGAATAAAATGTTTTAAAAATAAAGAAAATTAAAAGTTTGCTCATGTTTGAATTAGTTAGGGGATTTGTTATTTGCACTCGTTTGGTTGGTACTGGTTTTACATGATGGCTGCCATGTCAATTTTCTTTCACAATTTATCAAAAAATTTTAAAACGGGTTGTGCAAACAAGAAAGTTATTGAAGAGTAGAATTAGATCACTAAAATAAATATAAATACTTGTTGTGTGCTTAACGGACGCTTTGTAATCGAAAAAAAAACAGTGCCCAACCCATTCAATAAGGTATGTATGACGTAATTTGTTTTTCTTTCATTCATTGAAATAAGATTACTGTTATCATCGTAAATATTGTTTTGATAAGAATAAGTGTAGAAAAAGATGGTAATATCGGGTCAAATATGAATGAAATATTTTATCCATCCCGTAAATTTATCAGATTCGAGTCAAAATGGCGGAAAATTTTACTACGTCCACAATAAATTTCCCATTCATAAAGTGCATCTTTGCATGGTGCAGTTCTTTAAAAATTCCCCCAATTAATGGATAAAATTTCGTTTAATTAAAACGCAATTTCACTTAATGTAATTACCAAAACTACCGTTACTAATTTTTGTTTGTTTACACCTCTAATGAGTTAATTTTGTTTCACTAAAACACCTGTTGCCTCCTCTGTATAATTACCTTGAGTATTTTCTAACTTTTCTGTAAAAACTGTAAGGAAGCCACCTAAATACCTACTTTCCAGTGTACTAATCATGTTTATATTGTCAATTTTATTACTATTTATTACTACAAGATTTTCTATAGTTTTGAACTTTTTTATCTACTGCGCCCCCAATAAATTTTATTCCGTCTCAGCTTATTTATCTCTGCAAGTATTAACAAGTCGGGACAAGTTTATTGTCGGTCTCCATATCTCTTTGCGGTTTCGAGACTAATCAAAGCTGTAAAGTGCCATAAACACATTGTTATTGAGTTTAGTGCTAGACTTCTGTTTTTTAATTGAGGACGTATGTATATTTATATTTATTATATTAGATTAGTCACACGAGAATAAAGACGTAAATGAATATCTTCACAGGACAGGACAGGCAATGTTGTGAATATTAATGGGCGAGCAGGTAGTAAATAAATCTATTTTGAAGCCGGATTCAGTTCCAAGAAAAATGTTGGAGATAAAATTATTCGGATAAATAAGTTCATTACTTCGAATACATTTGACCTCTTAAGTGCTTCGTGTTTTAAAGGATCAAAAATGTTGTTGTGCATTGTATTCACCATTTAAAGTTTAAATTAGAAGAACTGGCGTTAGTTGATTCAATAAATACGACACCAACAAAGTAAACGAAAGTTATTTCGTGCATCAATATTTTTTGGGTAAATATTTGGCACACAATGGTATGTTTTTGCCACATAACTCAAGCGTTTATTATTTTCACATAAAAGTGTGTTTGGATAATATCAACAATTTGCACTTTGTCAATCCCTTGCTTTATTTTATATCATATCAAAATAATAATTATATTAAAAATTGATAAATTCATAGTCTATTTATTGTTTGCCGTGTTATTATTTTACGACGTAAATCACTGCAATTTTTGCCATACTACAAAAGGTTAATAAATGTTGTAGCTATCGATGCATAATTATAAATATCGCGAGAAATATCGTTAAATTACAGCACGAAAACAAAATAATTACGAATGAATGAACATTGTAACGGTCGTTGATTATGATAATCTTGCACTTGTTTTGCATGTAACATTGACATTGCCGCTATTTTTTACGTAAATAAAGTCATTTTTAATTTTTCTGTAACATCGGTCATATTTTCTTGTCCATTATTTTGATTTACGACTCGATTATGTAAGAACAAGTTCGTTATGTAAAAATCTAAGTTGTAACAAGCAAAAAACTAGTAATAATTAATTGGAATAATCAGGATGTGTAGCCTACACAGGACGTCTTAACTTGTATTCCGTTAGAGAGATAATAAGTATTGTAGATCAAACTTCTAACAGGAAATGTGTTTTTTATCAGATTAGTTTAAACCTTTCAAGTATTTATTTTTGAGGCCATGGTTACAGAGAAAATGTCTTTTAAGGGACGCTTATCGTTGACTTACATTAAAGATAAGAGCTACAGGAAATAGGGCATCAAAATTAATTTCATATCGACCAGTTGATACACACGTGAAAAGAAAAAAAAATAGTTTGTGTTTTGGTGTTCTTTTTAAATGTTAAGAGGCCTTGGTTTGATGGTAGTTTTAAAAATTTTGAAAAAAATATTGCTTGTGAACTTTTTTATTACTGATTGAAATTAATGTACAGTTGGAGACAAAATACTTTGGTCGTCACTTTTCTGACACTTTAATGTAATTCAACCTTTAACGTTAAAATAAATGACAATTTCAAATTAATGACAGCTATTATATTTTCCTATCAAAAATATGTACATAGAACTTGACAGTAACTAAAAATAAGGTTAACAGTCCTAAAGCATGCTTTACCATTTAGTGTCACTCAAGTGACATTGACGACCAAAGTATTTTGTCTCCAACTGTACTTATTTCTGTTACAATTTGTATCATACAATAACATATGTGAAATAGTATACAGTGAGCGGAAAAAATATGAAATAATCTTATTTATTAAAACTGAAAATAATTTGTTTTGACAAAAATGCTCGGCAAAAAAATACAGAATTTTCAACTTGTTGTAATGTATGTATTTTAAACTTTTCGGTTTTTGAGTAATGACGTCATTGACATTTTTTTATGGAACTTCTAATTTTTTTAACTAATTTGATGGATCTTTTAATTGTCGAAATGACAACACCAATATTTTAGATATTACAGAAAGTTTTCGAAAAATAATCATTGTAAAATTGAAATTACATCAACAAAAACAAAAATTTTAAAATATCAAGTTGAATATTGTGTATTTTTAAAAATAAAATTGATCTGTTTGAGCATTTTGTCAAAACAAAATATTTTTAGTTTTAATAAACAAGATTATTCCATAATTTTGCCGCTCAATGTATATTTTTTTAAATCGCTAAAGTTATAAAAAATAGGGTAAGCAGTTTAGGTGAAATATTTAGTGATTAATTACTATTAAAAAAATTATATGGGAGTTAATGTATTAAGATTAATAAAGGTTTACGTATGAAGTTTTTTTTATTAAATATTGTTAAAAACCGAGGTTTTGCATGGCACGCAATATTTAAAAATTCCGTTATTGCCAATGTCGATAATTATGGAAGAAACTGGCACTTAAATATGCTGACTATTTAAAATAAGTGCTAAAAATAAGTCTGTTTAAAAAGAGTGTATTTATAGCTATTTCAAGGTTACTTTTTCGTGCAATTATCCATTTTTCAGAAAAGATAAACCCGTTATCTGCACCGCCATAAATCCCACAAATCCAAAAATTTACGATAATTGTCAGTTATCAATGAAAGATAAGCGAAAAACCGATATTATCGCTTTCTTACTACCTACCATTTCCATCACCTTATCGTAACAATTTCGTTTAATTTCAGTGATCATTCAGTCAGTTCATTAGCGAGTGCGATGTAACAACATCCGTTTGTGCTCCCGATCTCTGAAAAAATGGACTCAAGTAGCAGTTCCAGCATCGAGAAATGCAACTGCGACAAGTCGGAACCGTCGCAAGAAAGTGATAGCAGTAATTCGGAATGTTCACCCAAAGATAAGAAAATCAAAATCAGTTTGACTTCACTCGGTCTGAATTTGCGTCGAGGCCGGTCGAAACGCAACAAGAAATCGAATCAAATCACACCGTCCACTTCTTCGGGTGCTGGCACCAGTAAAGAAATCACTAAGAAGTCACCGAAATGGGGAATCAAATTCAATTGCGCTAAAAAAGAACCGAAAGTGGCCTTCGTCGAAGAGAGCACGAATTGTTGCAAGTGCACGTGTTATAGAAGGACGGAGGAGCACGAAGCAGGGCCTGGAACTGTGTTTGCAAGTGAGGATAATGAAAGGACGAATGAAATAGTAGATCAGTCGAATGAGGAGGAAAATAGGGAAGAGGTACAGAATGAGAATGAGGAGGGTGAAGGGGTTAAGGGAATTTATGGAATCTCGAGGAATTCGAGCTGTTTGTGTATCGGACAGTGGGATATGCATTGGTAAGAGTCTATAAAGAAAATATTACTATTTTTAATTATAATTTGTCCTTTATTAAGAAATCCACAAAGAAATTAGATTTTTTACAATGGTTTTGCAATACTAAATAGGCAATATAATTCGTCTTTTTCTTTTAAAATGATTGTAAATTATTTTTAATTAAAAGTTAGCAGGCTCATCAATGTTTTATATTTTTTATACGACAATATGAGATCACGTTGTTACGGGTTATCATTGTAACCTTCAAGTTTTATTGCAATCTCTACAGAATTCCAGTTTACAAATAATAACAAAGTGTGTTTTTTTTAAAATTCACCAACTAATTACATATTTAGATAAATCACATTTAGCTTCAGCTAAATTTCCACATAATTTGAACAAAAAAGATTATACTAAGGTACTATGAAAATGTGATCGTTTTTCAAAAATGAATTTTTTGGAAATTATATATAGATATTTGTGAGTTTTGCAAACTTTATTAATTTTTAAAATGGCACCCTACTTGGCTTTCACCAATAATTTTTTTTTTTTTGTTTTACAAATAAGGGAAATATGTATTTGGCTGTGGAGATTTAGCTAAGACATTTAGAATTTACAGAGTGTGTCAGAACTCGCGCCCTAGAGAAAAATAAAGTAATATAAAATACGAGGAACATGGAAAAAATATTAAAAAAAATCTATTTAGTAAAGGTAAAAAAAATTGACAATAAAAACCATAAATAACATTAAACAGAGTTACAATTTAGGATACAGCTTCCTTGTTGCCTCTTTTGCTAGCCTGTAGCAAAAAACTTGGTAAATTATTTTTCCAACAGAAATAAATAGTCAAAGTGCAAAATTTAAACTCTCATAGCTTCGAAATTCTATGTTTCTGGTATCTTACCTTACATGGCATTTTTTTCTCTGGGGCGCGAGTTCTGGCGCATCCCCTGTATTTTTTGTTTGAATTGTTCTCTTTACACATTATATATTATTAATTATTACTTAATATTCGAGTTTTTAAATGGGTAGTTATAAAACGTTCAATAAACAATTTTATTTTGTTTAGTATAAAATGATAAATGTTCATTTAATTAATTTTTGGACGATAAGAAACTATAAATGGTCATTATAATATAATATTTTGCACAATAAAAATATTACATGATAAGTAAAGCACGCATAATATTTTATTGTAATTTGTTCAGTATAAAAGTGCATCCAATTTGCTCAGTAAAAATAACAAAGGTTCAAAATAACTCTAATCACAATTAGTAAAATAACATAAAAGTTAGGGAACATATTTTCAGTCTCGGTTACATAAAGCAATGTATGTGTAAGAATATTATTTATTATTGGAATTTCTTTTGTATTATTCATTATTCTTCTAAGCAGTTGCATAAACTAAATAATTACTTTCGAAAAAATAATTAGTGCAGTGTAAAGTACATATTATAAAAATTATATCGTTTTTCTACTGTGCATTTATTATTATCGCCTTGTTTTTATTTTGTTAATGAGTGTTATTTTACTGTGTGGATATTAGTTTTAATAAAATGCACAAAAATCCAACATTGTAAAATAACTTTATTTCATTGTGCTTTTTGCAATACTGCAACCGGATATGATTTTAGCTAACAAAAAATTCTATAATAAGATTGTTGATTGTTATTATTATAATTACTCTGCATAATTTGGATGCAATTTGAAGTGTAAAATGATGCTCTCCGTGACAATATGTCAACAACGGCTGTAGTACCATTTAATAGCTATTAAGACAACAAGAGTTTTATAGAAATTTTAAAATCAAATTAAAATTTAAATTTAATTAAATTTAAATTCAAGCGACCGGTAGGGATCCACCATTAATATTGGATCAGAAATTTTGGTAAATTCAAAAATTGTTATAAAGAAACTTGTTAAAATTGACAAAATGCCAAGATAAGTGTTACTTTTAAAATATGATGTGATTGATGACGTATTTTATAAAAGAGCATATATTAGCGAGAACATAAGAACTTAAATACAACATAGAAACAGTGTAAGATATTAGTATTGGAGAAAATTGTAGAAGTATAAAATTTAGAACTACTTTAAAAAAAAAGGTTGGTATTAGTAGATACTTATTAGATCTTTATAACACACAATACATTGTACCCAAATGTGACAAGAGATTAGAACAAAACAACATGGATTTATTGTATATTTATTTGTTATCAATGTTTTGCGTTTTTTTACGAGGAATGTAGTAAAATTCGATGATATTTTTTTAAGTCTACCGCCACGTCAGAATTCTGAAATTGTGATAAAATCGTGTGACACAGCGAAACTGATTTTTATATTGACATATTGAATGTAACAAAAATATGGCATAGTTTCGTTCCAAAAAATATCGAGATCATTTTTAGATAGTCTTTTCTTATCTTAAATGTACTTGAGTCAACTGTCTACATACTATAATATAAAATAATTATTTAAATTGAAATTGAAAAACTTTGTTTTATTCATTTTTGAATAGGTTTTTATTGATACAGTGGAATATTATATAAAATAATGTTCAAAATTGGTAAAATTTTTCAATCACTAGACAGAAATAAAGATTTTTCGTTGTTTTGTCGTCCTAAATTCTTGAAATTGTTTCAAACGCAAATGCCTCATGTTGATACTTCAACATTTACGATCTTATCTGTTTGAAGTGTTCAATTTGTTTAAAATTTTTATCTTGTTTATTTTCGTGTTAATAACAATTCGGGATATCATCTCAACGTGTCTCGTTGCAGGATACGTACTGTACACGAAGACTGTGATGAAGCTGCTCGGCTAGCACGCGCCCGTGAGATCGAGCAAGGCGTGGACCCCCCTGCGAACTTCCGTCCCGTCCGAAGGGTGCAACTTTTGTGTTCCGACATGGACTCGGAAGGAGGTCAAGTGCCAAGGAGGCTGCAGCTGGTCTGCCCTCCAGACCTGACCGTCGACTCGCTGCGGGCTCTTTTCCAAAACCACGTGACTCTCCGGTCATGTCCTTTGGACACCATCGCCGGCTGTCATACTCAGGTTGACTTCATCCATTGTCTCGTACCTGATCTATTGGAAATCACCAAATGCAGTTTTTACTGGGGTAAGACTAGATTTACAAATAGCCCAGTCAAATTAGACAAAAATAGGGCGATTGGTGGGAAAAAAATCCTAGAGAGTTGGATTTTTTTTAAACGCTTTCTTTTTCTTGGGTAGACATATATCAAAAGTCCCCGAAGGTGTGGGGCGAGCTCCTGGAGGGAGAGGGGGCTAAAGGTGTCTTTTTTTGTTTATATCTCGGAAACTATTACTCCTAACGGTTTTTGCCTGCTTATCAAAATTAAAGCCAACAAAATTTCATATAAAAATGGTTCCTTGTATTTTTGTTGTAAGACTAACTGTACGCGAGTTATAGGGCTGACAAGAAACATCATTTAAAAAAATGTGCTTTATCCGCATTTAAAACAGAATTAATCTTGTGATTTGAAAAAACTGAAAGCAAATTGAATTTATTGGGTGCAACACTTCATTAGATAGTCTATAAAGTCTTTCGAGTCGTCCTGATATGTTGTATCTTCGTCTTCAACTTAAACATTCAAAACCGATTTACAATCTTGTTCAATACAATATTAATAAATAGATGATTTAATATCGATGATTTAAATAAAGCTTACAGTAAATTGAATATATTGGATCCAACAGTTTATTAGAAGGTGCCACGAGGGTCTATCAAGTCTTCCGAGTCATCCTTATATGCTGAACTAGCATTTGCCTGCGACTTTGTTCACGTGTATTTCTGATATAAAATGGGAAAAAGCCCGTTCACAAAACCATTCCATAGGCTTAGGTACTCTATAAAGCTAGATAATTACCTATGTTATGTATAGGATTCAGTTATAGTAGTCTCCTTCTTCGCATGGGCTATGTTTATGGATAAATATTAAATGTTGATTTTCATAAAGTGTCGTCTAAGTGCACTTCTGCACTTTCAAAATTCGAAACTTCATGTTTCTAATTTTGTTTTTAAGCGTTTAAACTCTATTTTATTTCATTAAAATTAGAAAAGTGCACTTCTACACTCTCTAAGGATCATATTTTCTAAATTTAATGTTTTTATATCCCTTTAAATGTGTACATCGTATTAATTTTCGAAAAATCTGATTTTATTGCCCCTTTACACCTCTAAAGAATTTTATGTTTATATTGTTTAAACATTTACACCCCATTTAACCCCCTTACAGATTGATTCTCTCTTTCATCCAAAATTTTTATTTATATCTCCGTTTAAATGCTTACACCCGAGTCACCTTTCAGGCAGACTAGCTTAGTTGGGGAACGCTCTACACAAATAAATTCTTACCATATACTAATGAAATGTGTTTCAAAGGATTTTTATTGCAATTTAATGTAGACTCCAAACTTTTGAAGCCTACGGTTAGTCCTACGACAAAAATGAATAGGACCATTTTTGTAGAAAATTTTGATGCAGAAATAGACTTCTACAGAAAATTCTGCATAAATTAAATAAACGATGAGTTTGTATTTATAGACCCTCGTTACTCCCCCTTCCTTTAATGAAGTATTGGACCCAGTAAATTCAATTTACTGTCAGTTTTTTTCAAATTACAAGACTAATTCTGTTTTAAATGCAGATAAAGCACATTTTTTTAAATGATGTTTTTTTGTCTGCCCTATAACGCTTACGGTTATTCCTACAACAAAAATGCAAAGGACTGTTTTTGTAGGAAATTTTGTAAGCTTGAGTTTTGATAAGAAGATAAAAACCTATAGGAGTGATAATTTCTGAGATATAAGCAAAAAAAAAAAAACAAAAAAAGACACCTTTAACCTCCTCCCCATTCTCGAGCTCGCCCCCCACCTTCGGGGACTTTTGATATATGTCTACACAAGTGTAAAAAAAGCGTTTAAAAAAATTCCAACTAGGATTTTTTTCCACCGATTTATCTAATTTCACTGGGCTAAAATTTGTATTTTATGTTTAACATTTTTTTTTTTGATAGGTAAAATGGACCGTTACGAGGCGGAGAGGTTGCTTGACGGTAAACCCGAAGGTACTTTCCTCCTTCGTGACTCCGCCCAGGAAGAGTTCCTTTTCAGCGTGTCTTTCCGCAAATACGGGCGGTCGTTGCATGCAAGGATAGAACAGTGGAATCACAAGTTCAGTTTCGATTCGCACGACCCCGGCGTCTACACGTCTGACACAGTTTGTGGCCTTATCGAACATTACAAAGATCCGAGTAGTTGCATGTTTTTCGAGCCGATGCTCACATGGCCTTTGCACAGGAACTTCACGTTTTCGTTGCAACATTTGTGCAGAGCGACGATCGTTAATCGGTTGACTTATGATAACATTAATCTGTTGCAATTGCCTAAGACGTTGAAGAGTTATCTCAAAGAGTACCATTATAGACAGAAAGTGAGAGTGGAAAGGTTTGATGATGACATGCAGTGGCTAGATTTGAGGAAAGTATCTTCGTAATCAGTGTGTTATTGTTGTACATCTGTTTTTTTTTTTTTCGTTTAATTGGAGATTTGCATGAGTCGGAGGATATTGTGCAATAAGGTGATCTCAAAAATGGAATTTTAGATAACTCTGATAACGTAAATTGTTTTCCTCATTTTTATCTTTTTTATTTGGATTGAATCGTTGGAAACATGCAAATACCAATTAAATTGTTTTGCTTGTAACTGTCTTAACAATATAACGAAATTTTGTAGTAACATATCACAGCATAAGATTATTAATAGCCCTCCTCATAGAACAAGTACTTAATTTTGTAACTATTTTTATATTGCATTTAACTGAAATAAACCAAAATTGGATCGTTTGGGAGGGTGATGCTTTCTCAAAGGCTGTGTGCTTTTTTTAAGACATTGTCATATGATTGGTAAAAGGACTTATTTATTAATTAAAACAATGTCTCAAGCTTACAACAACTTACAATAAAACTGACAAATGACTTATTTTATAACTACCAACTATTTTGTCAATTTTTCGATTGTTAATTGTTCAGTGGAATAATACTCATTAATTATTACATTACAAATTGCTAGTCATTGAACAGTTACAGCCAAGCAATGATGAAAACGTCGATGTCCTGTTGTGTAATGGTAGTATTAAGTGGCACTAATTTTTTTCAGCTGATGTTTGGCTGTTACGTTAATTTAAAAATGTTAGGTGTAAGAAATTTTTGCAGTGTGCCAAATTGTTTGAACATGTTTGCAGTTGTGTATATTAATATATGGTTTTGCCATTTGAAAAAGGTTTTTTAAATTTTGTAACATAAAATATATATATTTTGACTAAAGTAATGTTGTAATATCAGTGTAGCAATTAGCAGTTAAAGAATGTATTTTAAATATCGAATAGCAAATTTAGTTAATAGCTTCTTAGGTAATTATTTCTAAAAGTATATTTTTAATAAAAGCATTACTTTCAATGAAAGTCCCTAATGCTTCTTATTGTTAAATGAAATGGTATTATAATGTTTGAATAATGTAAAATAATGTATTTAAAAAATGAAAATGTGATTATTAAATAATATGTTTACTTAAGTCTGCTTTTCATTACAAAAACCCCAAAATTTTATATAAAAAAGGAAACTGCCATTTTAATAAAGAATAAGCTGTGATAATATTCGATGAACGAATTTTAGTGCCGTTTTATGTTTGGCTCTGCGCATGCGTATTTTGATGTCAACTATCATATTTGTTTAGAAAAAAGTTAGGTTAGGAGCTTTGTCGAATTTTTAAATATTTTTTCAGCTCAAAGGCTAAAATAGGTGTCTTTTACATTTACGCAATGTGACTGTTGTATTTTGTGGTGTGAACATGTTAAAAATCCGTGCTTTAAACCGGGAATCGTCTTCGGACGAAGATGTCCCGGTGATTAGAAGAGAGGCTCAAGAAGAAATAGCTTTAGAGCTTTACAATAAAGCTTTACGTTTACAATCTACTGAAGATTATTTAGAAGCTGAAGAAATTCTTATAAATCTGATCAATGACAATATCCCGCAACTTGAAAATCATGGGGGACTTCCTTCGTCAATGTCTACTTTAAAATACTCTTGTTTTGTAAATATAGGGAACATTTATCTCAAGAAAGGAAACCCTGACAATGCTCTTGATAATTATTTAAACGTAATTGGGTTTTATTTATATATTTTTTAATCACGCGTGTTTGTAGGCCTCAGAATTAGATGCCACAGATGTTACGCTTTGGCACAAAATTGGAAAACTGGCGATTAAGCAGAATCGGTTTCGACAGGCGGCTTACGCTTTTTCAAAGGTTTGCGTTATAAACGGTAAAAAATGTGCTAAAAGCCGGTTTTAGGGCCTTGAATGTAGTGAATCGCACTGGCCCTGTCTAGACCAATTAATTTCTGTTCTATACGCCATGAAGGATACGGTAGAATGTCTTGTATACATAGGCAAAGCCCTTTGTTTGGATCCTGATTATACTAAAGGATTAGTGTTAAGGAAACAGATTTATAAAGACAATCCTGCAACTCTTCCCTACTACCAAAAATATAATCCTGACTAGTAAGTTAACTTTTTCTTATGTTTGATCATTTAAATTAATTATGACTAGTATTTGGGAACCACCCCTTGATGTAAAGGTTGAAGAAGAAGATGAAAAAATAATCTTGGCAAAAGAACAAATTCTTTGTGATCAAATCACCGAAGTAGAAAAATCTTTAGGTCCTAAACCTTTACAAACAATTCCTTTACCGAAAGCTCTTGATGATTTCACTTGGGTCTCTTTTGGTAAAGTAGTCACTGATCTTCATCAGTATATTACTGATAATTATATGGTATGATCTAAATATTTAGGAATTTTAATTTAATTTTTAATTCCTGTAGAGTCACTTTACTATGGTTGATGTTAATAAATGTATGAGTCAAAATAACAATGATGTTGAGATGGAAGAGTCCCCAAAATTTGAAGTACCGACAGAGAAAATAGTTGAGGAAAATGTACAACCGGAAAAAGCGCTGGAACCGGAAGTGGAAGAAGAAAAGGAGAAAGACAAAGTGGATGCAGAAAGTGTAATTGAAAGACGACAATCACAAAATAGTGAAAACAACAATGAACAGGAAAATACCCCAATACAAACTGATAATGATGAGGTAAATAGAGGTTTAATTAATTTTTTCTTAATTATGAATTAATCAAGGAACAAGTAATGGAGCAAGATGGGGACGATCAAGATGAAAATAACGACAGTAAAACTGATAAAAACCGGTCTTTAAATAAAAGTAACAAAAGGAAAAGAGACTTATTATCAGACTTGCAAATTTGGGGGTGGCACAGTAAACGAAAGTATGCCAAAAAAGGAAAATCCGATAAAGATTTTACGGTGGAGGATGCCTTAAATAGAGTTATTCCGAAGAATTTATTGTAATTTCTTTTAATTTTATTTTAAGTCTGGAATAATCAGATCATTGTAGAAAAAATAAAATTGGTGAAGAAAAATATAATCAGTTTGAGGATTCGATGAATACTATTGATATGTATAACATGTATGTCGAAAATCAACACGTTAATATTTTATCACCTATACATTCGCCGAAATCTGTCAGTTTGTAAGTTGGAATAAATTTTAAAATGCCGCCAATAATTGGTCAATCACAAACGAACTGTTTTGTTGATGGCCAATCAAAAGTTAAAGTTTTAGCGGCAAGTTCAAATTTGTTCATTTACAGTGAAGACTATTTTGGAACTGATCGCGAAAAGGATGATATTTTGAATCTGTGGAACCAACCACGTGATTACTGTGACGCTATTGTCCTAATCAAGGATTTTGTCATTTCTTTATCTAAATTATGGCACGTCAAATGGCCCAAAGAGTTACTTCAAATATACATAGAAGCGTACAACATGTATCGGGAACATTTTGATCATCCTCAGGTTTTTTCCGGTGAATCGACGTTTATAGAAATGAGAGATGATGCGTTAGCAACGTTGCTTTACGGCGAATTAATTAATTTTAGCTCGCCTAAGTAAGTTTTCTTTTTGGTTTGAGAATAATTTTAAAGTTAATTAATTTCAAGATCTGAGACCAGGACGATTCATGTAACTTCTCTAGCGTTTTTGCAAATTATAAGTGGATGGGAGGAAGACTGGCAAGAGGAATTTCCGTCAGTTTTTTTGCGTGTGTATTGGTTACGAGCCCACATATTCCGAAAGGAGGGAAACAACGACTTGGCTATTAGAGCTCTCGAATTGGCAAGTTTGTAATTTTTGTCGGAACTTTATCTAATTTAAAATTACAGATTCAGGAAATTATGTTAGAGGAGGAGAAAAAACACGACGAAAAATATTTCTTATGTTTACCTAATTGTTTCAAATGTGGATTAATTAGTAACGAAGTTACGTCTAAAATTTTAAAACATTTAGACATGTATGTGATAACACAAGGCGACAAAAAAAAGTCATGTCGTGACAACTTGACAAATTTTATATTATTTTGTTCGTCTCAGTGAGACAAATCAAATGCACTAAAAAAAAAATTAAAAAGTCCACACACTTTTAACTAAATACATATTTTTTTAATTTAAATGAATTTAAAATCCTTTAACTTTAAAAAATCATTACTCAATAACTATTAGGCCGATTTCTTTCAAATAAAGACCATTCTAAAGGGATGGCCTTGCCCTTTAGAATGATATAAAATTTGAAATTGAATATTGGCAAACTTTTCTTCGAACAGTGTTCGAAGAAGTTCGAAGTAATCTTGAAAAACCCTACGAGTAATTTTTTTTTCTTTGCACTATCGTGTAGAGCATCTTTTTATTAGTAAGAATCCAAATTTTTAAAATAATATACTTAGTAGTTTTTAAGATATGATTTTTTGAAGTTAAGGTTTGCTATTCAAGTATTGCGCCATATAGGAGAAATGCATGTTAATCTTACTTAAAATTGCATTTTTATAAAAGTATTTGTTTTAAGACTCTTCTTTTGCTTAAAAATGGTCAATTGCATCTTCTTTGTTCTAATTAGAATAAACAAAAACTGTTTCTTTACTTAAAACAAACAAAGAGTACCTGCGTGCTAATTAAAGCAAACAAAGAGTTTTTTTGTTCTAAAAATGATCACTGATCATTAAGCAAAAAGGATCTAGAAGTTTAAGGCACGAGCCTTAAATATAAGGGCAAATCTTTTTCAAATCAAATCACTTTCCATTCAGATTTCATCTTGTTCACTTTGTTCTAGCTTTTTGAACTTTTTTTGAAAATGTTCTGAGCAAATGCTTTCTCATCACTTTCGAGTGATGTTAAATGCAATAAGTCACCTGATTTATTTTGTTGGTACATTCTACGATTAGCTTCAGTTATTTTGTAGGTAGTAGTAGTTGTGATAACAGTTCCACACGAAGCAACTGACTTATTGCATTCAATATCAGTAGAAACTGATGAAAAGCATTTGTTGAGAACATTTTCAAAAAAAAAGGTCAGAAAGCTAGAACAAAGTGAACAGGTTGGAATCTGAATGGAAAGTCATTTAATTTGAAAAAGATTTGTTCTTATATTTAAAGCTACTGCTTTAAACTTCTAGATCTTTTTTGCTTAATGATCAGTGATCATTTTTAGAACAAAAAAACTTTTTGTTTGCTTTAATTAGTACGCAGGTACTCTTTGTTTGTTTTAAGTAAAGAAACAGTTTTTGTTTATTCTAATTAGAACAAAGAAGATGCAATTGACCATTTTTAAGCAAAAGAAGAGTCTTAAAACAAATACTTTTACAAAAATGCAATTTTAAGTAAGATTAACATGCATTTCTCCTATATGGCGCAATACTTGAATAGCAAACCTTAACTTCAAAAAATCATATCTTAAAAACTACAAGGTATATTATTTTAAAAATTTGGATTCTTACTAATAAAAAGATGCTCTACACGATAGTGCGAAGAAAAAAAAATACTCGTAGGGTTTTTCAAGATTACTTCGAACTTCTTCGAACACTGTTCGAAGAAAAGTTTGCCAATATTTAATTTCAAATTTCATATCATTCTAAAGGGCAAGGCCATCCCTTTAGAATGGTCTTTATTTGAAAGAAATCGGCCTAATAGTTATTGAGTAATGATTTTTTAAAGTTAAAGGATTTTAAATTCATTTAAATTAAAAAAATATGTATTTAGTTCAAAGTGTGTGGACTTTTTAATTTTTTTTTTAGTGCATTTGATTTGTCTCACTGAGACGAACAAAATGATATAAAATTTGTCAAGTTGTCACGACATAACGACATTTTTTTGTCGCCTTGTGTAATAATTTATCACTGATAATTTTTTGACTATTGTCTTTTAGGATAACATCATTAAATTGCATCGAGGCATTATACAACAGCGAAAAATACCGAGATGTTGCCGAAATTCTAAAACTCACATTTAACAGTTCTGGGAATCACCCGACTTGTGGCAAAATGGGCCGACCGGCGCAGTTGGCCATGCTAATGCACTCTTTGTGGTTCACAGACCTGACTGAATGTTTTGTCTGGACCGAGGAGTGTCTCTTTGAGGCCTTAACCCACTTTCTCAAACCTACAAAAGACGCTGATAAGTGGGAGAAAATCGTCGAAAAATGTTTAGCCTTTTTCCAGGAAATCATCAAAATGGAAACTGTGGGAGTCGGTACGTTTCACGCAATTTCTGGAGAGTTTTGTTATTAATTTTGTCACAGTTGACGCTCTTAGTGAGGAGAAAAAGGCTCGTCTTGTCGAAACTTTGTCTAAAATAGTTTGTAAGCAATTAAATGCGGAGAATATGACTAGAATCCCATTGGGGTGTATTACACCCTGGATTTTGTTGCATTATATTCTGGTTAGGGAGGAGCACCGGCAACAGGCGAGTAAACGTGTGCCTCATGTCAAAACCGACAAAAATGAAAACAATTTCACCGAAGTGTCAGAATCGCAAAACGAGGATTTGCCGCCCTCTGTCAGCATTCTCTTTTCAGCACATGAATTCCTAGGTTTGTTATTTTTATCAATTTTGATTGTTACTAAAATTGGAAGTAGGTCCTAAAGGGTGGTGTTTGACTGGAAACGGGGAACTCCTCCACTTCATTCTGGACACAATTCTGGACCGCTTAGACACCCCCATTTTTGAGCCTCTGCGCGACAAAATCGACATTCACATCGAGCAGGCGTTGTTCTGTCTCTACCAACATCCCAGCAAGAAAAACAAAGTAATTTATTTGATTGGTGTGACTTGTGGTGACTTAGTTTTCAGGTGTCGCGCCATCTGGCGGATCATAACGTCGATCCGCTTCCTCTAACCTGGGAACGGGCCTTTCAACTGTACGATTTCTACGGCCCTGATTGTCTTCCCGAGTTCAATTCCTATCGAAACGCCTCTATTTCGTCAGATTTGGAGCAACTTCTTCAAAGAATCATAGCTCTTGTTCCTTCTGTCATGGATCCACAACCGCTAATGCCAAAACTAACCGAGTTTATTCAAGGCAAGACGACGGAATTACCTGAAACGATTGAATTTTCGAATAAAGTTCGTGCGATTTATTATTTGATCGGCGATTATTACTTCAAACAGCGAGAGTTTAATCGGTGTTTGAAATATTTCATGATGGATCTTTGCATAAACCCGAATCGACTCGACTCGTGGGCTTGCATCGGTTTGAGTTACTTAAGCCAATTGGAAAATAAACTAAATTATTGTAAAAAATTAAAAAACGAGTTGGAGTTTTTAGATAAGGCCAAATGTGCCCAAGTTAGTTTCAGAAAAGCGCTCGATTTGGAGAAAGATCATATTATGTTGTGGATTGAGTTTGGATCTTTTGAGTATATGGTGCATTCGTTCTGTTCGAGGGTTATGAAATCCGAGTCAGATGTTTTGAGTATGGAACGGTAAGTAGTATCTTTTGGGCTCTCGGATGGTAAGTGATTGGTTTAGATTCGAGTACTTGGAGAACCAGAAAAATAATTACTTGGAAAGTTCGGGTCGGAGTTTCGAGAAAGCGATTCAGTTGTACCAACCTGATGAAGCTGAAGCGGACGAACGCTGGTTACAATATTACATTTTGGGGAAAGTCGCGGAGAAAAAACAGCAAGAACCTAACGAGTATTTGAAGTATTATGTCACTGTGAGTTTTTTCTTATTTTTTTAGTGAATAATTAATTTTTATAAATTGAAGGCGAGCAAATTATTGCATGAAAATAACGCGCTATATCCGGATAAAATCAATTACCACAACCCCCAACACCTAGCAGTTGAGGCCCTCGAGTTGCACTACCGCATAAATGCCTCAATTTTGAAATATTTGGAATTACACGAAGGCAAAGATATTCCAAATTCCATCGGGAATCTTTTCAAAGAACATTTAGACAAGTCGTATTTTCCGAAAAAAAATCTAGTCAAACAAAACGTTTTGCTAAATCAAAATCCTGTCGTTAAACCAACCGATGCTGATAAAACAAAAAACGAAGAAGTGATGAAAGACGTTAAAAATTGTCTTGACGACATGTTGTCTAAAGTTGATCACAATGTAAAAATGTCAGTGGGTAAAAAACTGGACAATGAAAAAGAAACAGAAGTGAGTGATGTGATTATGATTTCTGATTCTGACGATGAGCAACCAAAAAGACTGGTCGTGGAAGAAAAAAAGGATGAAGTGGAGACAAAACCAGTTGGAGATAGCGTTCAAGAGTTTCTCGATAAAATGATGGAAGAAACTATGAAAAAAACTGAAGAACAAGAACCCGATTCTGATACGAGTGTTACTAGTAAAAATGTTGTGGAAGTAAAAGTGGAAGAAAGTAAAGAAAAAGTTGAGGCGAAAATTAAAAGTGGGAGCGAAACTGAGACAGATATTAGGGTAATGCTTGATTAAAATTGAGTGAGGCTAATATTATCGTATTTTAGACATCTGTGGATGAGTCGAGTAGTTCCCCGAGTAGTTCAACTAGTAGTTCTAGTAGTTCCGACTCTGATAGTGATGACGACAGCAGTTCTTCGTCATCGTCATCGTCATCGGAAACCACAAATGGCAACATGTCTAATAGCGAAATTCTAGCTTTGGTTGACCGTTGCATAATTGGTAATTTACCATTTGTCAAAAAATCGCAATCTAAAACCTAATTTTCAGGTTTGGAACAATGCATAATTCGATTACCTCAGAATTACAAAGCCTTATACAGATTGGCTCATTTGTTTTACAATTACAAGGCAAAGAAAGATCTCAATAAATGTAAACAATTGCTTTTGGGTGAATACACGTGTAAAGGTGGTGTCGTAATAAATGGATTATTTTCCGACCGGAAAAACCACAATTTTTTCAATGTATGTCTTGTTGTTACAAGTAGTTTATTATGTATTTAAAAAAATTTCAGGGTATTTGGCGAATTCCTTCAAGTGAAATCGATCGGCCGGGATCATTATCGGCTCATATGAGTCGTTGCATAACACTTCTTTTGCAGATTTTACGAGCAACAAATGATAATAAATTACTCTTAGACTTGTCGATGCAATTTAGGAGAACTCCAGATCCGGACAAGTAATACATTTTTTGTCAAGTTTGAGTATCTAATTTTTCTTTTCCAGAATTTATATTAAAGATTCCGAGAGAATACAATTTGCGGATCAAGCTATGGCTATGTGTGTCCAATGTATGAGGTCTCAGATACAAAATGTCCCTAATATGACCGACGCTGCAGTTCAAAGATTATTACAAGATATATTCCGGTCGTATCAAAGAGTACAAAAACACGAAACTAGCAAAGAATTAACATTTGGGTCAATGTTGACCGAAGTTTACAAAAAAATGAAAAAGGATAAGGTGATTTGACATTGTTACCAACAGAGGGCAATTTTATTGTTTCCAGATACCGGACAACGCGAACGTATTAGACTTAGCGACGAAGTTCTGCCAACAGAACCGTTTAGTGGAAAAACAAAAACGTCAAATGCAAAATCAACAAGCAGCTCTTCAGCGAGTCCCCGGAGTACCAAATGTGGGTATTTTTAAAAATTTAATATGGCATGCGTTCATTTAAATTTCTGATCAAAATGGCGTGACTTGAAATTAAGTTGGTGACACTGAATAATTTAAAACTGATTGGGTTAAAAAATCTGTTGTCAATACTGAATTATTGAGAAATTCCATGCCAACGATCACTTTCAAAACTCATTGTTTCTGATTTTTGAGATATGTTATAGAACGTGTAAAAATAAGTGACACGTATTTCACGTAAGTTTCAAGACGGACGTTTTAAAAATGGCTGAAAAAAATTATTTTTTTTCAGAGCGCTGCATAGTGCATGATCCCCTAAGATCGCCTGAAAGTAGCGTTTCCTTGGAAAGTAAATAGAAAAGTTTCCAATTACCGTCACTAATAAAATGTTCTAAAGAAAGCACTTAATTTCCAATAATTTATTAACATTTATTTTTCAACAAATATCAATAATAAAAAACAAATTCTTCGGTTGAGTAAATATTTCACATATTACGTTTGGCTATACAGGGTGTGTCAAAATTCCCGGATGAACGTGATATGCCATGTAAGGTAAGATACCAGGAACATGAAAAGAATATTAAAAAAATCTGTGAAAAAAATTTTACACTTATAATCTAATCGACAAGTTGAAAGACTTTGCGATTTTTTAAATGATCATTTTAGTCGAACAAAGCTCCAAAAAGGTATACGAAATCTACATACTTTTATTTTAATATCAGAAAATAGAATAAAGAAAAAGAGAGTACCCTTCCTCAACCGAGGAATTTGTATTTATAATTGATATTTTTTGAAAAATAAATCTTAAGTTATTGGAAATTATGTGTTTTCTTTACAACAGTTTATTAGTAACGGTAATTAGTAATTTTTCTATTTAATTTTCAAGAAAAGCTACTTTCAGACGATCTTAGGGGATCATACACTATGAAGCGCTCTCAAATAATTTTTTTTCAGCCATTTTTAAAACGTCCGTCTTGAAACTTATGTGAAGAGATAGTAAAATGATGGAAGTTTTTACATAAATGTTTTGAGAATTTTAAGAACCTGCGTAATTAATTGTTCATTTTTTTGTTTAAACAATATATTTTTAATTTTTTTGTTACTAACAAATTTTAAGAATACATGTATTATCACGTCCGTAGGGTACCTACTTATATCAATTATTAAAAAAAAAATCGTTTCAATATGTTGATTTGCTCTTTAGATAAAAATTCTTTTTGTTACGAGGTACTTAATTTTGTACATTCCTGTTTTTTCAACATACATTGAAAAAATAAAAAACGGTGGAAAACGTGTCGCTTATTTTTACACGTTCTATAACATACCTCAAATTTACAAAAATCAGAAACAATGAGTTTTAAAAGTGATCGTTTTGGCATGGAATTACTCTATTGGTAGTTGCAAGAGACGGCTAGGCAACACCCGCCCCTAGGACATGATAATAACCAATGTTGCCTTCTTAATTTCTAAGTTTTTTGATCCGCAATTAAATTATATTTGACTTTCAGCCTCCGGTTTTGCCAACACCTTCAACAATAAACCCCACTAATCAGCAACCGCTCAAAAGACCGGGAGTGGGGAGACCTCGTGGTCGGCCACCTTTGCCGAAAGTCCCCGGACAAGGCCGAGTGCCCCGAGGTCGCAGCCCCAACGTTGCCACGAATCCCTTCTCCTGGCAAAATGCTACTTACAACTATCTCAAGCATTACCAAGAAGAGTTGATTAAACAATACAGCCAGAGTCTGAGTCTCAGTCAATTGACTCAGCTGAGTCAATACTTGACTCAGACTCAAAATCAATTTGCCAACGCTTTGCTTCAAAATCAGTTCAACAATCAGTTTATGGGGGGGCAAAATCCGCTCTTGAGTAACACGAATTTGTTAAAACAGATGAGTTCGAGCCAGTTTTTGGCGTCACAAATGGCAGATACCAAAACTGGAGGTTATAAGAAAAAGGTGGAAACAACGATAACGCCAACTGGGTTAAAAATTGATCCACTTAAGTCGTATGGGGGTTTAGAAATTTCGCCAAAAACTAGTGGTTATAACAAAAAACAATTGCCACATACTGTAACATCAGCGTCCCAGCCTGCTACGATTAGTAAAGTCAAACCGACTATTCCGTCCAATATTTACAATGTCACTATGCCACATTCAATGTCAACCAATCAGCAACAACCAATTAATTTGGGAAACAAAAAAGCAACAATTACACATTCAGTCACTTCAATGAGTCATGTTCCGGTGACTTGTAAAACAAAATCCTTTTATACACCGAGTGGTGTCAAAAATACATACACCGGAAGCACGAACTACTCTGATGTTACTAAGTTGAGTAAATCAAGCGCTGTGACTAAAACAACACCCAGTTCGCAGATTTTCAAAGTGAGGCGATGGTCACTTGTTTTCGGTGTTTAATGTCGATTTTACAGGAACCTATGTTATCAAATTTGCCGCACCACAAAGTCATGGATAAAGCGGCAAACATACTTATGAAGGAACGTCCGAACATTTCTATAACGCCGGTATTGCAGAGTTCTATACCGTTGATAACAACGTCGTCGTTTATGACGCCTCCGAGTCCGGGTAAAACCCTGCAAGAGAAATTGGCCGATAAACAGAAACAGCACTCAACAAAGCATTTGGGGAGGCACATTGAGGCTGAGATTATTAGTGCACCGATAGGAGGCGCTGCGATCAAGAAAAGTTTGAATATTCCAAGTATTCCGTCGTTGTCGGTCACCAAGCCGAGTTATAAGTTTCCATTGGATTCGGGGATTTCCATAAGTCAGGTAAAGTTGCGTTTTTTGTAGATGAGTTCATCATGTCTCATCATCACGTGTATTTTTTGAGTTGTGCTTCTAGTTTTGAGTTTAAATGAGTGTTGTCATTTTTCAAATTTTCATTACATGTTTAACTCCTAGAACACGACAAATCCAACAGAACAAGCCAACATTTGGAAACCGGCGTTGTAGTCCAGTAAGTTCCACATTACGCTGTTTTGTATGTAAAACGGAGGATTATGATTTGTCTTGTTTTTGCATCGCTGGTGTAGTTTAAGTTGTTCTACTATCTGCTTCTACTTGTTTAAAGATGTAGCATTAGATGAAATATTTCTTTCATAGTAGTTGTTTAGTCTGCGGTCCACCATAGTTTGACATTGCAGATAATCCAAATAGGCCTGAAAACGTACACAGTTTTTTTTTGTAATTACTAGAATTTATTTTATTTACATCTAGTATAAGTTTTTTTTGGGTCATATTGCATGAGCTGTCACTTTCATTTATCATCAGTGAGGTCGATTTAAAAGATTATTTTTATTCATTAATACCTGTGACGTGTTACTTGTATTTTTACATTTTTTTTAAGATTCCAGTTACTCAACCTTATAAAGAACCTCTCAGTCGACAGCAACATAAAGAACCACCACCTAAAGTTTCTAAGCATATAAGTCAAGTTAATTTACCTCCCAATCTACCACTGTCATTGAGTGTAACAAAAAAAACAGAAAAGAAACCACCGTTGGATGATGACGTTATAGTAATTGAATGACCTACTTTTGACATTTTTAAGAGTAATTAGTTTAATATGTGTGCCGATAAATTTTTTATAATAAATATTTGTAATCTGAGTTGTTTTTTTTGTAGTAACACTCGTACCTTTTCCGTTTTAATTATTGTTGGCACAAAAGATTCTAGTAAATGATTGATTGATTTAAAATCTTTCAAGTAATGGAATTATTTTTTTAAAATGTAAAAACACAAATTCGTCTTTTAGTATCTATCATGCACTAGTTGGAGCTTCTTGACATTCCATGACCTTCCTATTTGCTCTCTAGAAGCTGTCAAAAAATACAAAGTGATCCACAAGGAATGAATCTGTTAGCAATCCTGACTCTATTTTTTAAAGGTTACAATTGGAGTACGTTTTTAATTAACAACAATTCAACAATCTTGAGGGGTTGTACGTCAACAATTTGTCAAGCAACAAAACCGGTTGCAGTGTTTCAAATTGTTAACAAAAATACTTTCAAATCTGTTACCAACAGATCTAGTCTTTTTGTGTATATAAAAAATCTGGTGTGAACATCACACGACTTTCCTTATCCTACTTATTTGGAAAACATCCTTACAGTGTTGGAAATTCTAGTAGCAAACCTAACATTTGCGTTAGTGCCACCTGCCGGATTACACGCAAAATAAATCATTGTTGTCGCGGGTCGAATCTGGAGTGCAATTTTTTTTAGTTTGGTACAAATTATTATTTTTATTTCATCAGATTTTACTTTTAATAAGGTATATTTCGTGTTTCTAAGTAATTTTTATCGCCATAAATTTATTATATCTTCAACCGTATAATTTTGTGGCCGCTTTACGGCTGACTTTTGGTCTTTGTGGCCGAACGGAGCGACCCATTTTTATCAATTGTTTCGTGCTGCATACCCTTCCTACTAGTAACTTACATAGCAAATTTTAAGTTTCTAGCTCTTATCATTCTCGAGATATGCTGTTTAGAGACAGATACACACACAGAGAGAAAGAGAGAGAGAAAGACACACACGACCCAATGGCCCAAACCAACTTTTTTAGTGTCTTGAAGCTATATTCCGTCCAAAAATGTAAAAACCTGGGTATGTCAAATTTCAGACGATTACAATACTTTCCTTATCATTGTAAGATTTTTACATTTCTGGACGAATTATATAAAAACGGCTAGGCATAGATACGTTTCCTTAAAGGTTTATCTGGGTTCATCTCAGGGACACCCCAAAAAAAAAAAAGAAAACGTCTGTTTTTGGGTACAAGCTAGTATTTAGTATTTTTGTTTACTATTAATTGTGGATAGTAAGGCAAAATACGACCATGCAGACCGAAGAATCTGCAAAATTGTTTTTTAAATTCAGAAATTAAAAACATCACTTACCCCAATAAAAGTTTGCAAAGAGAGAGTAAATCAATTAATTGCTGTAATTTTGATCGGTTTGCGGCAACGACAGCCCAAAATGAGCAAATTTTTAGCAACACTTCGGTTTTGTTGCAATCACTGCGACTCGTAGACTGCTTTAGGAATCATATAGCTCTACGATAAAATTTTTAAACTACTTGAGATGAAAAAAACATCTTACCTTAACTTCAACTTCGCTGCTGAATCAACAATATAACAAAATTTCAGTTAACATTCCTATCATGTAAGCTGTAGTACTTATTTAGCGAATCAATCTAAAGGGTCCAAAATGATAATTAATTTTTCAAATGCTAGAGAAACTTACTAAACTCAATTGAAACATAGGTAAAGCAATTACTTCTGTACTTGCCGCTATTTGTCACAAAATAATAACATTGAAAATATTGTTAGTAACTTTTACAAGGCTGCAAAATAATAGTATTTCGAGTTAAAACTAATGTTTATTTACCGTAAAATTTTCTTGTGGTGTATTGTGATGTATTGTAGGTATCAGTTTTGGCCTAAAAGTACCTATCATTTAGATTCCTCCCTCAAGTCGTCACAAAGAAGGCGATTTCGTAGTTGGGGCTTCGTCCGGTGTCGAAAGAATACCAAGCTTGAAAGGGTAGTCGTCGATTTTTGATCATGTTGTTTAAAAGTGGTTTTGTACGAAAAAATATCTTTTTAGAAGAACGAGGTGTTGATTTTTGCCACAAAGATAGTCGCCGTTAAAGCATTCCTGAATAAAAGTGGAAAATATTTATGATTTGTGATAATTTATGACCACCAACGATGGTAATAGTAATAAATATGTAATAAAAAGGGTAAAAACTGCAGTTGTACCCCATATCCTCGAGGCCACAATCCGACATTCCGACGGATTTCAGTATGAGTATATTTATTTTGTGTAGGAAATCTACAGTCAAATTTTTCCATTGGGATAACAAAATTAAAATAATAATATATTAAACATATGTAGAAATATTTTCTGGAGTACTCGAAACAAATGGATAAAATAAGATTATTTCAAGCTTTTTTTCTATTTCAGTTTAGTTACAATCGACAATTGCTTTCTTTCATGCCGTAAGTAGAGTTTACTTTTTTACGTAAATATAACACTGTATTTGCAAAACTATTATTTTTTCTGGATAATATTACAGGCAGGTATGTTGTATGTTTATTGTAGAACAAAGACATTTTGTAGAAATATTTTGCAAATTATTATTAATATCGGTAAAATTAAAGAGGAAACTACTTTTTCTATGTAATATGTCGTCTTTCTAGACATTGAGCCTCCATTTTCCTGCGATTATTAATTTAGCTTAATTTAAACGTAAAACAACCATTTTTGTTCTCTTCTCTCACTAATATTTCTATTGGACTTTCATTTGTTTCATTTGCCGTGTGTTTCTTAGGGCGGCAATGACGGCATTGTTTTCTTTTGCATTCAAATTTTAATTTACATTAGATAGATTAGACTTTTTATATAGGCTCCAAAAAATAGCTATTTTACGACCTCTTTTAAGTTTCAATAAGTTTTTTCGGACTCAATAAAATAGTCTTACCTAGAGAAACTCGAAAAAATTAAAAAAATTTGCTGAAATATAATATAATATAATTAACTTGTTTTTGAGCCAGAAACTCAATTCAATTTAGTGTTTTGTTTGAGTTACACTGTTTGAGATTTAGCAGATTTGAGATGGAACATGAAAGATTTAAAAAAAATAGTTGTTTTTATGTTTAAATTATTTTATTTTTAACAATAATTCCAGTGATTTTGCTCTCCAAATATACAAAGTAACAAAAAAAAAAACAGAAAAACGTAGTTTTGTCTCGTGCAATTTTACAGCTGCCAACCCTCTCGTTTGCTTTGAACTTTAATAATCGCATGCAAATGGCGGCTCAATGTCTAGAAGGACGACATTACATAAAAAGGGTAGTTTCCTCTTTAATTTCATTGATATTAATAATAAATCACAAAATATATCTGCAAAATGTCTTTGTTGTAGTTAAACACAAAACATACCTCCCTGTAATATTGTCCAGCAAAAATAATAGTTTTACAAATGTAACTATAAAAAATACCACAGCTTATACTTTATTTAAGTTCAGTGTTTTATTTGAATAGAAAAGCAATCTCTAAGTACAGCAAGAAAAAACGCAATTGTTGATTGTGAGTAATACAATGTAGAAAAGGAGGCCATATAAAAGGCTTGGAATGATCTTATTTTTTGCATTTGTTGTTTTGAGTGTTCCGGGAAACATTTCTTCATATTTTTTAATAATAACATTATTTTAGTTTTGTTATTCCGATGGAAAAATTTGACTGGAGATGTCCTATACGAATAAATCTACTCCTACTGAGATCTGTAGGATTGTGGCCTCGAGGATATGGAGTTTACAAGCGCAACTTTTACCTCTTTTATTCTATCTTCACGACTATTACCATCGTCGGTGGCCACAACTTATCTCAAGTCATAAATATTTTCTACGTTTATACAGATTTGGAAGCTTTAACGGCGACTATCTTTGTGGCAACAACCAACATCTTGGCCCTTATCAAAAGATATTTTTTCGTGCGAAACCTCCCCGTACTTAAGGAAATTCTGAAAACTTTAAACACTCACCAGTTTCACCCGAAAACTCTTCGACAAATGAAAATCATCCAGACTCCACTTCGTCGCTGGAAACTGGCTTACATTTGCTTTTCCATAATCGTGTATTTCAATGTCGCCATGTGGACACTTGAACCACTTTTGGACAACATGATCAAAAATCGACGATTACCATTTCAAGCTTGGTATCCTTTCGATACCAGACGAAGCCCCAACTACGAAATCGCCTACTGTTACCAATTCATTTGCATATGGAACATAACCATAGCTAATTTGAATTTGGACACTCTCATATTCGCTTTCATGATGTTCATTTCAGCCCAGTGTGAGATTCTTTGTGACGACTTGAGGAATCTTAATAATGATACTTTTGGGCCAAGACTGATACAATGCATTAAACACCACAAGGAAATTTTACGGTAAACAAACACTAATTTTGACTCGAAATACCATTATTTTGCAGCCTTGCAAAAGTCACTAACAATATCTTCAATTTTATTATTTTGGGACAAATAGCCACAAGTACAGCTGCAATTGCTTTAACCATGTTTCAATTGAGTTTAGTAAGTTTCTCTAGCACTTGAAAAATTAATTATCATTTTGGACCCTTTAGATTGATTCGCTAAATACCACAGCTTTAACCCACTTTGCTTACATGACGGGAATGTTAACTGAAATTTTGTTATATTGTTGGTTTGGCAACGAAATTGAAGTTAAGGTAAGGTTTTTTTTTCATCTCAACTAGTTTAAAAAATTGTGTCGTAGAGCTATATGATTCCTAAAGCAGTCTACGAGTCGCAGTGGTTGCAACAAAGCCGAAGTGTTGCAAAAAATTTGCTCATTTTAGGCTGTCGTTGTCGCAAACCGATCAAAATTACAGCGATTAATTTATTTACACTCTCTTTGCAAACTTTTATTGCGGTAAGTGAATTTTTTTTATTTTCAAATTTAAAAAACAATTTTGCAGATTCTTCGGTCTGCATGGTCGTATTTTGCCTTATTATCCACAATTAATAGTAAATAAAAATACTAAATTACTAGCTTGCACTAAAAATTTCTCAACCTATAAGAAAGTTACTGAGACCCAACTTGTTGGAGGAAAATGCTCAATTAAGCTACAATATTTTTATTCTTTAAAAGTTGTTTGTGTTTTTATTAGAGACTACTGGTATGACTACTTTGTAATTTACTATCACTTCAAAGGAAATATTTATAAGCCAATGAGGTTAGTCCCCTTTTATTTTATTGTGAACAAAGTGAAAAAATAAAAATTGACGTATAAATCCGTTTAAATCTGTTTTAAAAAAACAACATTTTAACTAAAAATAAACTTGAATGTTTTTGTTTTTATTTTTTCTACTGTTTTCAAAAATGTTCAAAAATTGCCTTATTACTGTTTCATGTAGTAATAAGCAGGTATTCTAATGGCATAATTTGAACTAGTTGAAGTAAATGTAGCTCATTATGGGTCAGTAAAGTACGCAACACATATATAAAAAGCCAATTTCACTATTTCTGTGTCTAGTCAAGTTTACTTGTAGTAATCTGTGAAAAGTTTTTGAAGATGTTTAACTTTTTCTGTGTTGAGTGCAATATCGTTTACCTTTTTTTATATTCATCACAACTTCTACTATTTATTGCTTCAAATTTTTCACGAACAAACAGCTGGCGTTATTATTTCCACACTGAGTTATTAAAAATGTTTCAAATTCAAATTTTTTTTCAAATCTGTTTGAATTGTACTTTGGACGGTTTAGTGCTGGAGCTTACACTTGACTGTTTTCCTTCGTTTGGAAACTCTTGAATTCTAAGTAAGTTTAGTACATTATTACTTTTGTATAATTTGTATTTTTCAGGTCACACTATTTGCTACTAAAATAGAAAACTCAATTTTTTGTTTTTATAATCTTGTCACAATTTTCATATTGTTTATGTAGGTGTTAATTAAAAAACTCTAATAAAGCTTATAATTATCATCTTAGCTTTTTAACTCATAGAAAAATCCTTAAAATTTAAGTGTTTGTGCTTTTTTAAAAGTTCTTGTCTACTTTTAAAAAATTATGTGGCAATACGTTATTAGTGGCAGGTGAACATAATTAAAAAAACATTAATTTAATAATAATAAAATAATAATTAATAATAAAACATTAATTTAAAATTCTTCTTTCCATCATTAATATCTTATACTATTTCTATGGTGCATTTAAGCTTACCTCTTATGTTGCCATATGCTGTTCCATAAAATACATCGTCAATCACATCGTTTTTTATCAGTATATAATATATCTACCTTGGCATTTTGTCAATTTTGGTATTATTTTGCCAATTTTATTATTTTATATTTATTTTTACCTATTTAATTTAGTGAAAACTAAAATAAATTAATACTTTCCTAGATTTTTTGTAATTATTATAAAATTTACTTTAAAACTGGTCTAAAACACAAACAAGTCAATTTGTGTCTATTTTAAAAATAGCACCAAATTAAAATAACATTTTTTGCTTTAAAAACCATTAATTATTTTTTTATTAATTCATCACGTCTTGCTGTAAAACCAATGAAACCGGTTTTCAGAAAATATAGAATAATTATATATTTTCTCAGACTTCTATAGAATTAACTGAATATGGTAATTACTAGTTTTGTCTGCCCTAAGTACAATTATTAATAATAAAAAAGAAACAGCACTAATTATGAAAATTAAATGTTATAACCGGTAATTAAATTCTTAAGATCAATGTGGACGTTTTGTAAAATTATTCTCTAATTACTTATGTTTAGTTTTCCTCGCTATTATCCTCAAAAAGGAAAATAAAAACTTGAGTCTGATTAATAATGAACAAAAACATAATTATCTAATTACGTACAAATAGCATGTCGATCTTCAAAGTTGCTCAGTATGCACTTGTGGTTCGTTAAAAATGGAATCATTTGATTGGCAACATAGCATTAAACCAAACTTGAATGCCCTTAAACTTGTTGGACTTTGGCCTAAGGGTGATTTTTACAAATTGGACTTGTACACATTTTATACATCACTGGCAGTTGTGGTAATAGTTTGTGGTCACAATTTGTCCCAGTTCGTCTACATATTACAAGTCTATTCTGATTTGAAAGCTCTCACAGCTACGATATTTGTAACTAGTATCAATTTTCTGGGAGCTGTAAAAATGTACTTTTTTATGAAGCACATTAAAACAGTGAAGATACTATTTAAAATGTTGAAAACGTATCAATTTAAACCGAAGAATATTCAACAAACTCAAATGGTTGAACCGTTTCTGAATCTATGGAAAATATTATACGTTGGATACTCCATCAACGTGTATCTCATTGTGGTCATGTGGTCGCTACTTCCTGTCTTCAATGGGTGGACTTTGCAGAAAAAATTGCCTTTTCCAGCACGTTATCCATTCGATGTTACAAAATCGCCGTATTATGAATTGGCTTACGTTTATCAATTTATCTGTATTTGGTACATAACAATTGCCAATTTAAACTTGGACACAATTATTATAGCGTTAATGATGTATACCTCGTGTCAGTGTGATCTTCTGTGCGACAATTTGAAAAATCTTTCACAGAAAAGACTTTTCGATAAAAAATTGATTGATTGTATCAAGCATCATAAATCCATTTTAAAGTAAGTCAAGTCTTTTTACTTTTCACATTAAAATTTGATTTAGTTTTGCAGAAAAAAGTAATAATTTATTCAATATGATCGTATTGGGTCAAATTGCCACAAGCACTGTGGTTCTTGCTTTAACAATGTTTCAGTTGAGTTTAGTGAGCCCCTTGAGCAGTGAGGGTTTGAATCATCTCTTTTACATTGGTGGTATTATAATGCAAATACTGCTTTATTGTTGGTTTGGAAATGAAGTTGAAACAAGGGTAAGACAGGGTAAAACATTTACAGAAGTAATTGTAAAAACGATAAAGGTTTAGAGCAGTAATGTTTTGTCTGCAATCTATGAATCTAGTTGGTTCGAAGCGTCTCAAAACACTAAGAAAAATTTACTCATTTTTTCGATCCGATGTCAGCGTCCAATTAAAGTTACAGCTCTTAAATTATTTGCACTCTCATTGAGGACTTTTATAACGGTTAGTTTCAAATAATGGTAATAATATTTATAAAGTTAGTAAATTTCAGATTGTTCGATCCGGATGGTCTTATTTTGCAGTGTTGTACAACGTTGGTTCTAAATAAGGATATTAAAGATAAAATGCTGTTTAGTTTATTATTTCTAAAAGTGATAAATAATAGTACGAGTACATATCTAGAATTCACCAACCTTAACAATTTTTTATGTTCCAACAGAAGTCGACTTAAAATTATGAAATTTTTTTGAGAAAATCATCGAGGCAGAGCTGGAGTGGTCACGAAGAACTTTGGAATTTGGAACCAAACCCACTCAGAGGCTAAAAGTTTCTAAAATTTTAGTATACCTACAATTAATATAAAATTTGTTAGTGTTAATAAATTAGGTCCAAATAAGCGGTAGTATTAACAAAAAAATACAAATAAGCTTAATTAAACTGAATATTTATTCTTTATTATTTTTACTTTGATTTATCTCATCTGAAAATGACCACTTTGAGGTTGAAACGCGTCGTGTTAGAAATAAAAGTTTGGTGTGTCGGGTTAAACTGTGTTTGTGTTCTTGATTTATCTGGTGTATATGTATACAGGATGTAAAAATAGGGGACAAAGAGTAACCTGAAGTTTGCTAAGTCAAAATAAAACGATTTAACTCTACTTATCTCCAACCTAATAATTTTTTATACAAGTACAGGGTGAGTCATAGGTATATAATAAAGACCTCAGACGCAACCCAAAATACATTGTCATATCGCACTATGCGTTAATTGATGTTTTGTTTGAAAATTTTCAAAGATATAAACATAGATACCTGTGATGGCTTTGACAATTTTTATAAATTGGAATCCTACGGAGTACCTTTGGCGGTACAGATTCAGCCACAGCATTTTGTGGCATTCCCCATTTATCAAGATCATATCAGTTCTTTCGTCGTTTGAGTACATTTTGAATTCAAGGGGAAAAAAGTAGAATTAATGACACTGTCAAATTTAACTAATAAGATATCAACAATTACTTTGATTTAAATTTAATAAAATAAATTTTTCAAACATACAAAAAGCAAAGTTGACTGTGAGAATGTATTTTGGGTTGCGTCTAAAAATCAGTCAGGGTCTTTATTAAGTGACTCAGCCTGTATAATAATAAATGGCCAACGTCCGAAATTTTGACACGTTTACTTAAATTATTTTTTACTTATGCCACTCTGATTGCATATAACAAAATATTGCTTAAAATGTGTTGTTAATATCTAGGTAAGTACATTACAATAACAATAAAACAAAAGAAATAGCACATGCCTGTAGCAAATTTCATAAAAATCGATTACTCTATTAAAAAAAATTAAAGAAACAAAATCTACATTGTTTTGCAGTTAACCTTTTGTAACAATTTATACAGAGTGTTCCGTCTAAATCCCACATTAAAAGTATTGGGAGTTCGAATAATCATATTTGTTTGAAAATTTGTACATAGCCATAATCCATTAAGTTCTAATAAGTGAAAATATTTTCAAGATGGCGGCACTTCCGGTTATATCGGAAGTCGGTGTCAACTTTCTTATTTTAAATGGAAAGATATATTTTTACTGCGTTTTTGAATTAATCGAGTTATTTGAAGGGAGTTTTCATCAGTTTTCCCTATACCCAAATTTAGCCGTTTTTGAAATATTTGAAAAATTTGTGGATCTGCACCTTTCACTTTAAAAATCGGTAACTCTGCTATTTTTTAAAATTATGAATTCGTTGATAATTGAAAAAGAAAGTTTAGACCTTTCTTCTGGTGTTTTCAAGTTTTGAAAAAAAAATTAACAAACCCTAAAATTTTAAGGTTACTTTTGTAATAATTCAAATACCCGTAACTCAATTTTTCCAAATGAAATACCTCAATTTTTATTTTACTAAATGGAAGAGAATTTAATTCTGCATCGATCTGTATTAACATTCCCTATACCTAAATTTAATAATTTTTAAGTTATAGTGACTTTGTTAAGACTGCCAAAAATCTATTACATTTTCGTATACTTTGCCATGGAAATCAAAAATGTCAAAACTGTTTTTCAATAAACGTCGACAGTGACTTATTATTTGAGAAATAGTGCCAAAATATGGAGAGTCAAGGCTACTCAAACTTAGATTTAATTAATTTATTCTGAATTTATGGAGAGTGTAACAACATTATGATGTCGTTCATTAAACAAAAATAAATTTTTCTCACTAACAAGTAAATTATTTAAAGCTAGCAAGCTTTAAATAATGATCGTAAGGTAGAACCTATCAATAATAATTAGGTTTGCATAACTTTTAGTAGTAATTTACTGTTGACGTTTGTATAGAGAAAATTTTGACATTTTTTATTTCCATAGCAAACTATGTGAAAATGAGTGTGGCCACCGCCAAGGAAAGAATAATTGAAGCCTTTAATGACATCTCTGTTGAAATGCTGAGGACAATCACACTTTTCTTTATGCTTAGACTAGACGCCTGTTGGACGAGGAATGACAGCATTTTTGAATATTTGCTATAGAATTAATTAAATTTTGAAATTTTTATAATTAAGGTCTTGCATTGAATTCAAATTCCAATTAGCGTTTCTTGAGTACTCAGTATTTCAATAAACAACACCGTTTTCTTAATTGATGTGTAGTGATAACGTAACTTTAAGAAGAGGAAGTAACGCAAACCTACTTGATTTTTAACGCTAAATAGAATAATTTAAAATTTTCTAGGTTTAAAAAGGTGTACAATAAAACAGGTAAGGTTTAGACCTCCAAACCCTAGGTTTTTTAGAAAGCTTATTAAATGCTCTACACGATAAAGTAATAACATAGAGGGTGTTTTATTTGAAAAAATCAAGATAATTGATATTTTGCGAATGTCAACACTCTGCAGTAGTTGCAAAAGATTGATTGAATTTCTACCACAATAATTTAGGACCAGACTCAGTAAAAATGGTTGCAATTGTTTTTATTCACTTTTTTTTTTCTAGCAAAGCCGTTGTGATTTTTCAAAAATTGCACTTTTTTTTCATAAAATTGCCTATAAATGATAAATGGTCTATGATAGACCCATAAAACCTAATATGGATATTCTTAGAATTAGAAACTATTTCAAATAAGCGCATAATCTACCGGGTGTTCCATAAGAAAAAATATAACTTTGTTGCGCCACCCTATATAGGAATTGCCTATAATGACGAAAATATTTTTGAACCATAGAAAAAATGAATGTCTATCGTCCAAAAGAAACCGCATTTCGTTATCTTCTTTACTGTCAAAGTAATCGAAGAAATACGGAGCTCTGGGACACCTGTATACATATGATCGCGTTTTGGGAATGAAATTTTTTGTTCATGAGTTGTATTTTTTTTTCAAAATAAAAACACAACACAAAAATTAAAAAAAAATTAACATCCAACACGATGACGCATTATTTTAGAACATATGTACAGGATGTTCCGTTTTTATTGTTACAAATTTAAACAGGTGATAGGATATTCAATTCTAAGACAAAAGTTTCCTATAAACATGTATCGAAAAATGCTTGGTAAGGGAGCTACACCCCCTGGAAGGGGGCTAATATGTTTTTACTAATATTTGCATTTGAAGATTTGTTGAAGCTCTTTGAACCTAAAAAGATGCTAGATCAGTTGTGTAATTTAAACTTAAACTCTTGTAAATGTAGACAGCATTAAAAAACTGAATTTTAACTTGATGTTTTTGTCGATATGTCAGAACTTTTATAACCTTCTTTATAATAAGCCAAATTTACCCGATGTAAACTTTTGATATTGTAACTTATACAACTGTTATTGTCATCACTGGAGCAAAAAAGAATATTTAATATTTTTGAGAATGTTTGTTTATTAACTTTCAACATTCCTTAACTGAAAGTGGAAGCATGTTTTATCAATTTTTTAATATCCTCTTTAACTCCCGCTGAACCCATACTTTTATATTTATCAATAATATATCTCCATTTATTTAAAAATAACACCAAATTAAAATCTAAATCATTATCTTACAATATTTTGGTTTAGAAACCATTAATTATTTTTTTACTAATTCATTACTTATTCTTTCGACAAGAACCAATAAACTCGGCTCCCGAAAAATAATTGAAAATTCTTCTTTTGAAAAATTCAAAGAATAAGTTAGACATAATTATATAGGTCCTAAGCTTCTTGTCTGCGCCAAGGAAAAGCATAAATATACATTAATAATGAAAATGAAGCTGTAATTAGTCGATTCATTAATTAAAAGTAATGTCATTTTGAGTCATAGTCACTTCTACTGTTGAGTTCTAAGAGCAAAGGTGAAATAAAAATGTTTGATTTTAAGCTAACAATCAAAACTAACATTTATTTCCTAAAATTACTTGGATTGTGGCCAAAAAATAGTTACGATTTTAATTGGTACACTTTATACACATTGCTTTTAAACGCAATTATTGCCAGTGACAATATTGGCCAAACTGCAAATCTTTTCTTCGTTTATGTGGATTTCGGATCCTTAATGGGCACAATTTTTGTTCTTTTTACCAACTGGTGTGCTTCAATAAAAGCAAGTTTCTTCATCTACAACATACGTTATCTCAAAACTTTGATGAAAAAAATTGACTGTGAAGAATTTCAACCGAAAACTCGCCATCACGAGAATTTAGTTTTGCCAACATTACAATTGTGGAAGATGATTTATTACCTATTTCAGATTTTAGTTGGTGTAACTACAATGTTAATTACGACATATCCGGTAATTGATGGATCAATTCGAAGATTGGAGTTGCCCTTTTGGGCTTGGTATCCCTACAACACTAGACAATCACAACTGTTTCAAATTGTGTATTTTTACCAATTGTTTTGCGTCTGGTGTATCGCATTTACTTCAATGAATATAGACATGGCAAATACGTCTTTGATGATGTTTGTGAAAGCTCAATGTAACTTATTGTGCTACAATTTAAAAAATTTAAACAATTATAATAATTGTTTCAATGCAAAGTTGTTAGCGTGTATAAAGCATCATAAAAAAATTTTAAGGTAATTTTAAACAATTTTGTGTTTTATTTAATTTTCAGTTTTAGTTTTGCCAACATTGCAAACACTTTTTCTAATGAAATTTTGTTAACGCAGTTTTTTACTAGTACGGTTTCCCTAGGATTGGCAATGTTTCAATTAAGTTTGGTAATTATTTTTTCTCTAATTTTCATTTTTGAAAGAGCATTTTTATAGTTTGCACCTTTAAGCGCCGACAGTTATATTCTTCTCTTTTACATAGTTGCCATTATTGACGAAATTTTCTTGTACTGTTGGTTTGGAAACGAAGTAGAACATGCTGTAAGTATTTTTCTCAATACTCGTAAAAATAATAGTAAATAATAACGTTAAATATTTCAAATTTTATAAGATGATATAAAATATAAAAGTGGTATTTAAATTAAAATTAACAAAAACAAAACATACGAGGTAAACAAAAAATACGGAACCAAACGTTTTTTACGATAACTATTTCTTTTTTCAAAAAACTAATTGATGAAATATAAACTGCTATTAAATTTGGACGTTTTGTCTAGAATGAAATTTTTCGAAATTACTGTTTTGTTTTTGAGTTCTGCAAAATCTTTTTTTTTAATTGTAACCTACCATAAAAACTTTTTACAAAGGCGATTAGAGTTATCCACATTTTTTCAATTTTTATCATTTTTTTTATGTAAGCAAAACATTCTGTATGAGTAAATAGTTTTTTTTAGTTTGTGTCCAATTTTCTTCTTTAAATTCTGCTCCACAATTGAAGTAACTAACAGTATATTCGTATTATGTTATTAGGAGTAAAAGTGATAGTTTATGTGCTGAATTTGATTGTTTATTTTGCCGTAAGTAGTGAGGCAAATAATTCACATGATCCATATAATAATCCCACTTTTACTTCGATCAAATAACATAGTTATACTATTTTATCTGCAAACGTATTTGGATTAATGAATAATTACCTAGTAAATGAACAAAATAGTCGCTTTGCAATGAAATCATAACGTTTATAAACAAACACCACGCATCAGCATCGGAATTCGTGTTGAGATTTTCAAAAGTGTTGATTAATTTAACTAGTGCAGTTAGTAGTACAAGACGTCGAATGCTGATGATAATCTACAATGCACCTCTCTAGAAATTGCTGAAGTAGCGAAAAATGTCAAAACGCTTAAGCGCAAAAATAGAATTTTTACTTCCATGGCGTTACTCCAAGGTTGAATTTTTACTTGTGACATTTAGTCATAAAAGTGATGGTCACTTTTTTAAAGCCTTAAGAGTCGCATTTTATTAATTTTGTATTTCACGAACATACATTAAAAGAATTGTGCAACAAAATCGCATTAAATTATTTTGACATTTTTAAAATGTCTTCTTTTATCGCGTTTTTGCGAAGACGTATTACGAATTGTAATTTATAGTTTTTAAATAATTAATAGTTCTAAATATAAAATATTTTAATGACTTCCAGGTGCTTATTTGCTAGTTATTTTATTATTCAAACGATGTAACAATGTGCAATTTTCTATTCTGAAGAACATTATTAAAACAAAACTGACGTAATGACACAGGTACTATAATTTTTCCATTGTGTTAGATTCATAAGTGAATTATAGATAAAGTAATACTGTTAAAATTGCTGATCCATTTAAATTATATGTATAAAACATTTAAACTCTTAATATCACGGCCAACAGAATAGCACATGCTATAAATTACACATTTTCATTTCATTTGTTCACATCGTTTTAGAACTTTTAGCGAGTATTAATAAAAAATGGCTTTCTTTCCTTGGAAGTCTGTGATTAATTCTAACCTTCTGCTCTTAAAATTTTTGGGCTTATGGCCAAAAGAAAACAATTATGGGCGTAATTTTTATACCTTGTATGCGATTCTATTGACTCTAATGGTGGCAAGTGACAATTTATGCCAAACTGTAAATCTGTTTCTAATTTACACGGACTTTGCTTCGTTAATGGGGACAGTTTTTGTTCTTTTTACTAACTGGTGTGCTTCGATAAAATCGTTTTGTTTCATATACAAGATGAATCTTGTCAAAATATTGCTACAAGATTTAGATTGTGTAGAGTTTCAACCAAAAAACCCCAATCATGTGAATTTATCTCGCACCATTTTACACATATGGAAACTCATGTTTTACGCAATGGTAGGTAGTGTAGTTGCAACTGTCTTGGCTTTGGAGGTCATGCCTGTGCTCAGTGGTACTCTGGCACAATATGAGCTCCCGTTTTGGGCTTGGTATCCTTACAAAACACGAACATCGCCTCTTTTTGAAATCATCTATTTGTATCAAGATCTTTGTGTGTTTTGTATTGGGATTGTCAGCGTAAACATAGATCTTTTGATCATGGCATTGATGATGTATGCTGGCATTCAGTGTGATCTCTTATGTTATGACTTGAAAAAACTCAACAATGCAAAAAATGATTTTAATAATAATTTAATAATGTGCATAAAGCATCATAAGAAAATTGATAGGTATTTCTTCTGATTTGTGTGAATCATAACTAATTGAAATTTTCTAGTTTTGCGAAACACTCAAATGTGTTTTTTAATGAAATTTTGCTAATACAATTTTTAACTAGCACGGCATCATTGGGGTTAGCTCTATTTCAGTTTAGTTTGGTAAGTGAACTCGAAACATCACATGATTGATGAACATTTTTGAATTTATATATGTAGGTTGATCCTTTAAGCCCTGAAGGCTACATGATTTTCTTGTACGTGTTATGCATCATAACAGAAATATTTTTATACTGCTGGTTTGGAAATGAGGTGGAAATCAAAGTAAGTAGCTTTATTTATTTACTGAAATATTTGAGATAAGACAATACGAAAAAGATCTACCGGACATGTTTTGAAATACAATTTGAATTTTTACAAAAATAATAGTATAAAATTTTTTGAGGGTGTCTATGCATTATTAACAATTTTAACAAGAATTTTAAGTCATTATTATAACATTTATAACACATAAATGTAAACAAAATCTTAATTTTAATTGTAAATTTTTATCTCCTTTTTACGTAATAAGAATTATTATTTTCGGTTTATTTAGAAAAAATATGTCGATTTTATATCGTTGATGTCAACTAGCAATTTTCGTCGTGGCCACGTAACGTTCACCGTTTCTGCAACTTTATAGTAAATTGCTACGGTAGATTATTACGTAATTATAACGAAAGAACTTTGTAAATTTTGGAAAATAGTTTGTCACTATTTTGGAACTACCTACATTACGTTTACAGTTTAAAAACTACTTACTGAGTATAATTACTACATAGATGTTTATGCAAATTTTAGTCAAAAAATATTTCAATCTTAAAACCAATTCAAGTTTTTTGATAAACATTTTGAAGAAACAAAAAGCAATTATTTTTTATTCACAATCACTAGTGTAATATGCCGATTACTAACCTTTTAAAGGGTGGGAAACACATCATTAAATCTCATGAGGAGTAATAATATTGCTTCTCTTGGGCGGTAATATGCACGATAGCCAACCTTAAAATTAGAAAAATACCGGAAATTTTTTCTTTCAAATTGTCAAGTTACGCATAATATTTCGCAAAATTAGTATTCAATTGCTTCTGCAGCAGTTTCTCTTAATTCTGGGGGAGTACGTTGCTCCATTTCGACGAATCAAATTTACACATTATTTCAATATTTTCTTTGACATTTTTGAAATGTCAAAAATCAAACGCCATTTGGATGGCCTACCACGTTTGGACCTTAACTTTGTTAGAATTTTATTTTGCTCAAATTTTTGACTGGAAATAATGTGATTGCGAATAAAATAGCATACAAACCTCGGTGGTAATGGCATTACCCCTTGTGCTTTATCCAATCTCGAGGCTGGCGCCTCTCGATCGTATACATAAACACTCGGGGTAATGCCATATTTACCACCTCGCTTGTAATGTACTATTAAATATTAACGTTGCGTTTTAAAACATTTTAAAGCTATTTTTGTGTTTCTATTTGCCAATAGTTTCATTTATACTTTTAATATTCAAGTTATTCTTAAAAGAATCATAAGAAATTACTCGTACTATTTTTTTTTATTAAATATGATTACTGAACCTACACATATGGAAGCTTTAACAATATGGCGTATTAGATAAAAGTTACTTTGTAGTCGTTATTACTTGTAAAAGTATATTTGGGGAAGAAATTACTTAAGAAGAAGTAATCATTACTACAGAAAATAACCATAATTCTGACTACAAAGTAATTTTTACTAAATAATTGTCAAACAGTAAATTCAACTACATTTTTTTAAGTAGCCATGAAAATAACACAAAAAATGTTACTAAATGGCTACCACATCTTAAGTACATAAAATAAAGTAGCAAAATCGTTATTCTATAAATTCTATCTATAACTTATATTAAGTTATAAGTACGAATAACTCAAAAGTAATTTATTAGAGTAGTTATTTAGTTTTCGATTCTAAAAAGATACTACAAAGTTTCATAACTATATTGTTTTCTAAACCAGTAAAACATACGTACAATCTATTAAATTGTAGTTAATAAAGTAAAAATTACTTAATAATCCAAAAAAAGTACGCAGTTACTATAACTTTAAGTCAAAATTTTCTTTACTTTTAATTGCGTTGTTGTGACTCCTGATACTGCTTGGGATTAAATATGTGCCTGGCGCCTCCACCAAATTTATCATTAAAAAAGTAATATTATAGCATTAAGCTTCACATTATGTTAAAACGATTAAACGATGTTTCTGTGACTATAATAAAGCTAAGTAAATGACCAAAGGAATTATTGTTTGAAGCCGACGAAGGAGAGCTTTAATCTTCCCGCGGTCGCTATGACCTTTAACAGGACGTGAGACGTAGGCTTTTCGTCGTAGAAAATTACCATATTAAAAAATATATTTTTTCAAACTTTATTATCCTATGATGTTATAATTACAAAAAGTTTACTATAATATTTGAGAGCGGGATTTTGTTATTTGTGTTATATTTTAAAACAATTTTTCCAAATTGTAACTTTAAACGTTAATCTTTGTGTTATATTTATAAACGCTAGCAAATGTTTATACTCAAAAATTTTATACCAACAGTGATTAACTGATCAACATAAAATTACAAACAGTTATAGTTGATTACCCGGTATTTTCCACATTTATAAAGCAAGTATTGAATGATTTTGCAATTTCAATTTGAAAACTAAAAAAATAATATTTTTTTTAGAAACTCATTCAAAACTTTCGATTTCCGAATTTTTTGGCAGTAATTAATTCAAACATTCGATTTATGTGGACAACATGTTTTTCAATCAAATATTATTTTGAAAATAACATTTTCATGTTTTGACTTTGGTTAATAAGAACTAATACGGTCTTACTACATTAGTTAGTTCCTTTTTAATCACTAACTACTAACAATGCACGAGAACGACGACTGAGCATTATTTACTTATGCTACATTAAAATTAAGATCCAATTTTCTAATAAAATTCTTGTTTTTGTAAACCTTCAATTATCTTATCAATTAAAGGCAAACCTAGTTATTACGTTTACGTTTAATTGCTTAAACTGACTGTAATATCTTCCAAAAACATTTAATTTGGTTTATTTTTTATCTCCACCCTCCAATTACAACCATAATAATTAATTACGTTCTAGTCCTTTATTGTTACTTTACACTTATTTAAAACTGCTTTTCGTGAGAAATGCGGCATATGGACCTTTTTGGGCCATTAATAATGAAAAAAATTATTACTTGAAATTTTCTTGATTGGACTTTTCAGTTTTGATCAGTTTGCGTTTTGAAGTGGTGTATTGAAAATGTCTTCAGAAAAATTCGATTTTGTACTTACCATTAAGCCAAACATTTTCTTTTTGAAAATAGTGGGTTTATGGCCTGTCGACCATAATGATATGTATCGACTATACACCATGATAGTCACGGTTTTTGTTATGGGAATTTTCGACTTGACACGTGTAATGAATATATTCTTCGTGTACACAGATTTGAAAGTATTAACTGCCACTATCTATCTTACTGTCACCGATATCACGGTTTTGATCAAAACTTGTCTTTTTATCAGCAATGTTAAAACTTTAAAACGACTGACTGTGATAATAAATTGCGATTTGTTTCAACCCAAAACCGACCATCAGAAACAACTTGTGCAAAGTGGCTTGACAGCTTGGAAAATAAGTTATGTGAGTTTTTGGTCACTGGTGTTTTGCTCTTTACTCATGTGGACTGTTTCTCCAATAATACAAGCAACACCAGGGCGCAAACCGTTGCCCTTGCCGGCTTGGTACCCTTACAATACCGAAATAACGCCTTTGTATGAAATTACTTACGTGTGTCAGGTCATCAGTATGTGGTTTTTGGCCACTGCTAATATGAATATGGATAGTTTGATCGCCGCTTTGATGATGTACGTGGGCGCTCAGTGTGATATTTTGTGCGATGATTTAAAAAAACTGGACAAATTGTCAAAAATTCAAGAAGAACGAAATAAGTTTAATAGGGGGTTAGTAGACAGAATAGAGCACCATAAAGAAATCTTGCAGTATGTTAAATTAATACCATAATTTTTTACTTATTTAAATTTTTAGTTTTGCACATGATTGTAATGCGTCATACAATTTCATTATTTTGGCTCAATTTTTTACAAGTTCATTAGCGATAGCACTGAGTATGTTTCAATTAACGTTGGTAAGGTTTTTGCATAGTTTTTGATACGTAATGTCTCTAGTTTTTGAAAGGTTGATCCTCTCAGTATGGAGAGCTTTCCACTTTTATCTTACGCTTTTGGAATGGCACTTCAAATTTTTCTGTATTGTTGGTTTGGAAATGAAGTGGAAGCAAAGGTAAGAACAATTTGAAATTATTGCAATATGAGAAAACACGATTCTTTTCATAAAATTTTGAATATTAAAGTATGACATTATCAAGATTTCAAAGACTGTCTGTTAATTATCATTAAGTTGGGTACTAAATTTTAGTGATAATTGTGCTGCAACAACTTTATTGCTAGTTAAATTGAGACTGTAGGACCCTTTATGAGTAAAATTAGTATTAGCAATCGCGATGTTTCAGTGATTTAATCATACGCTTTAATACTAAAAGAAGCATTTAGCATTCTTTAAAAATTGAAAAGAAAAAATAATTACTTTTTTTTAACTCAATATATCTCCGGATAGGTGAAACGACTCTCGAAAAAGAAAAAAAATTGTTGAATTTTTACTTTTAGGGGTTTAGCCCTGCTTGGTTAAAGACTAATTTCATAGATAATTTTAGTTTTGAAAAACTAAGTATGCTTTGGAAATTTAAAAGAAAACTATTTTTCTGTAAAGTGCCTTTTATGTGGCGCAAATACGACAAAAAGTTATTGTTTAGAATCAATATCAAGGTTCCTACACCAAATTTCAAAATCATCGGCCAATTATTTTGAAGTTTGGTATAGGGGCCTAATTGTTGATTCTTAACAACCTTCCTTAATAACGTTTTTTCGGATGTGCCACAAAAAAGACACTTCACAGTAAAATTTTTTTTGAAAAATTTTCAACGTAGATATACTTGATTTTTCAAAACCAAAATAATGTTAGAAATTAGTCTTTAACCAAACAGGGCTGAATTCTAAAAAATAAAAATTTAAATCGAGAATTTTTATCTTTTACAAGACTCGTTTCTCACCTTTTAATAAACATTTCTTTGTCGGTCAAAGCCTGTATTGTTTTTATCACCGGCACACTGCGAGATGTCAGAAGAAGATGCCTACTACGCAACACGCAATACAATGTGTTTGCACACATTTTTGACATCGAAACTTGGTTTCTCATTTTAGTTTTACCTTAGCATCGAATTAACTTTTTTGGCATAAACTGCTGTAAACTGACTTTAAGAGCGGTCGTAAGATTTACATCTTTGACAATGGTGATAAGATTATTAAATAAAAGTAATTCTTGAAATTTCAAGAATTAAATTTATCGTAAAATGTTTTTGTTTATTAAGTATATATTTGTATAGCCATTTTAGAAATAAATACTAATATTACTTTTTAAAAATATCAAAATCACCAAAAATAATCAGAGGAAATTAAGTTTTTATGCCTTCGATATATTTTAACTTTTACTTTTATTTATACGCAGTTATGCTTACCACTTACCTTTTTTTGTTTTACTTACTTTTTATTGTAAAGTTTTTTAATTTTAACACACAGGGTGTACAGTTTTAATTGTTGCAAATTTAAACAGGTGACAGAATATTCAATTTTAAGATAAAAGTTTCGTATGAACATATATTGAAAAATATTATGTAAGTATGTAAGGTACACTCCCTGAAAGAGGTGCATGTTTTAATGGATTTTGTTAAATATTTCAGAAACCATTTTAAATAAAATTACAAAATTTGCAGTTGATTACCTTTACACACCCAAACGAATTCAAATTCAAAATCTTGAAATTTTTTTTAGGATAAAAAGTACTCAAACTATTTTAGCTGAAGTTTCTTGCCATTTTCAGCAACAAAATTTTAAATTGTATAGTTTTTCAAAAAAGAGCTCTCTTGCGTTTTTTATGCAACTTACCCTTTTTGAGTAAAATCATTTTAAACGACTTTTGATCTTTGAATTCGTTCAGGTCTATTCTGAAATAGTGGGAAAACCCTATTAAAAACGCAGTCCTTTCAGAGGGTGTAGCTCCCTTAGATAACATTTTTCGAGACATGTTCATAGGAAACTTTTGTCTTAAAATTGAATATTCTATCACCTGTTCAAATTTGTAACAATAAAAACGGAACAGCCCTGTATAATGTTTTTAAGTTGTGTTTCTTATAGTTTTGTAAGATCTTTTTCGACCATCTTTCTCACTTTTCAGTTTCATGTTACTGTGGTCTTGAGTTTTAAATGTGCGCCTTTAGGTTTGAATTTTACTTATTTTTTTATTTTTTTTTATTTCAAATATACGTCTCGAGGTTTTCCCAGTCTAAGCTTGGACTATTTAATCTCACTGTTTATTTAAGTTTTGAAGAGTGGGATACTATAATTGATGATAAGGAAGAGTTGTAATTTTTTGATTATAATTAAATCGTTTTCCTAAAAACCTGAGTTTAGATATTTGCACAACAGTACTCGTATAGGTATTAAAATACGAGCTGCAGAGATTGAAGCAAGATTTTAAAATTCCGAAATGAGCTATGCAGCGGCTCCACCATTTTTCTTATTTTGCATTTTTTTTTGTTTTTTTTTTAAGGAAATTTTTCAAATTTATAGAATTTTGCGTCGGATTGGTTGGTAACAAGTAGCAGTGTTATTCATGAAAGAGTTGGAGAATTCTACTTAAACCAACATTAGTCATTGTGTGTAATTTTGAAATAATTTCTCAAGATTTTTTCATGTTCGACACCAAAAATTTGGAAAATTGATAAATTTATTGAAAATCGAAAGCATTTTACTTTTAACGGCATTGCCACTAACATTAAAAACATAAAATACACTATGCTATTAATGCTCTGTGGGAAGCTGTTAACGATCCCAAACGAGTTTATTAATAGTCTTGTTAAAGATGTAAAACAGAAAAATGTACCTACTGTTTGCTAATATTATTATTACGCTTCTTCTTAGACACTTTGTTTGTGCATCGCTAAAGACAAATTTAATCAAACTAGAGAAAAAATAGCAAATTTATAAACATTTCAATTTCTTATTATACTCACAACCTTTTTTACCTTAGATCTATCCTAACTAATCGAAATAATTATTATTATGCTGTTGGTTAGTCATGTAGTTCTAAAATAACATTTTAATCAATTGTTGAAAAGTAGGATATACAACTTGATTTGTCTTAGTCATTTTTTCGAGAAGTAGAAATTGAGTTTTAATTTTAAAATAAATATAAATTTGTTCTCAACTTGCAGAAAACTACTCACAATTAATATCTTTCGTACTAACCCATCTGAACTTTTGCAAATCTTTAAAATAAAATGTTACTTTTTTCCGGATTTTTCGCTTGAAGAAAGAAGCTTTGATTTAATACATTTATAGGGCATAACAAAACTTTATTACAACTCAATTTTTATTTAAAAATAAACAGATTGATAAATTGGTACTTCTAGGTAGGTATTTAATTAATCAGTTAAAAATGGATGCTAAAAGCATTTTTACAGCTAACATGGTTAAACCTCTATTTTTTATATAATTATAATGTAAACATTTTCTTTTTGATTGCTTTGATAAATTTACATTAGCTGCAAAATAAACAAAGAAAAATTTAAGAAATATAATTAATTATACTCGTTTTCATACTAACGTGCATCGAAATAGTCGTTGAAAGGGATCATTTTAAGGTGGCAACCATGCGAAAATTCAAACAATCCTAAACTCAATCTTCACTAAAAAATATTTTTTCAAATAAATGTGTACCCCATGTAGCAAAAAATAGTTAAAATTAACAACATAATCAAACATACGATATAAATAAAGATTTTTGTCATTATTGATGCGATTAAATTTATTTTGAATGACATTAATGACACTTTTTGTGTAAATCGGACTTTAAATTAAAGATTTATTTAGACTTCTACAACCTACTTGATGCACATTAATATGAAAAAGAGTATACGTACTCAGTTATTATTAAACTTGAAACAAGAAATTTAATAATTATTATTAATTCGGTACGTAGATGTTGTCTTGACTTACTTCAAATGAAAATTATTTTTAAACATTTAAAATTATTTTAGTTTTCCTCGGTGACACAAACTCTTAGACCATCTCTTGGGTAATAAAAATAAAATAAAAATATCCAACTGAGTTAAAAGACTTAAAATTGTTTGAGCCTTTTTTTCACGAATCGTAGCTTTTCAAAGGTTAAATTTTGGGTTAAGATTTTGGCTGTTTAGATCATGTTTTCTTGAGTTTAGTTAGCGGAAACGGCAAGTGTTACAACACTAAACATATACCTGTTAAAAAAAAATCACCAATTTACGTCTTGTGGTGTACAAAGCATTTAACAACACACCGACACTTTTGAGTCTTTCTTTATTTAACAATTTTGTGTTGTACAAACAGGTTGGAAAAAAACTGAAAATGTCTTTTCAGACAACACACACACGCTTAAAACGTCTCTTTGGTTGCATACGTATGCAATCTATGTACGAGTTTAAACATATTATAATATCTTCCCTCATCATCACAACCTTTATGGCTCATTAACATTATATTTTACTTAGACGACCTCAATCGTGGTACAAAAAGTGTGACATTTCAGTGACATACCCTTGAACCAATAAGAGACACGTCTCAGAACTGTTTCATAAAATAAAAACTTGGAGGTAAATGTAAATTATAGGATGCAAGTGTTTTTCTTTAAGACCCCTTTATTAGAAAATTTATTTTAATTAGAGAAACTAATAATTATCCGTTTTGTAAAAATGTTGTCCTTGAAATTTTTGACATCCCCTCAATTAATTTGTAACCTATCATTAAATTATTTTTCTTTTATTAGTTAACGGCCCTCGAAAAAACAATCAATAAAATTGTAAATAATAGAAAAAGTCATGTCGAGATGAAACTGTCATCAGTTACAACTTGTCCGTTTTCGAGTAATTTTCACACCAAAATGAATTTTGATTGGAAAGACACAATCAAAATAAATTTTCTCATGATGAAAATTGTTGGTTTATGGCCTAGTGAAAAATATAAAGTCGACTTTTACACTTTCTATACACTGATCTCGGTAACTTTATTCATATGTGGTCATGTCATTTTCCACACAGTGGCGGTATTCATTGTTGGACGAGATTTGAAACACCTGATTGGAGCTTTGTACATGTCTCTCACCGAAACACTGTTATTAGTAAAAATGTGTTATTTTATCAAAAACTCGAGACTTCTTAAGTTACTGCTTACAAGCCTCGACTCTGACATTTTTCAACCGAAAAATGGAAAACATCTCGAATTAGCTAATCCCAGTTTAATGTTCTGGAAAAAAGTGCACAAATCGTTTGCAATACTGGTGGCAAACACAGTTTTTCTCTTCGTTTCTTTGCCAATTTTGAGCAAATCGACAAAATTCTATCGGTTACCATTGGAAGCTTGGTACCCTTACGACACTCAAAAATCACCAAATTACGAAATCACTTATCTGTATCAATTTCTAAGCACGCTTTTCCGAGGAATGGCTAGTGTCAGCATGGACACATTTATTGCAGCCCTGAATATGTACATAAGTGTACAGTGTGATATATTGTGTGATAATTTGCAAAATTTGGATGAAGCTAATTTTATGGAAAAATTAACACATTGTATAAAACACCACAAAGCTATCGTGAGGTTTGTTGAATCGCTTTTTTTGGTTATATGTGGATCAATTTGTTCCAGTTTCGCTCGCGATTGCAATAAATTTTATAACGGAATAGTTTTGGGTCAGTTTTTTTCGACTTCGATTTCTTTGGGATTGGCCATGTTTTTACTAAGCTTGGTAAGATTTATAAAAATGCGATTCACGAAAATAATATTCTTTAAAAAGGTTGCTCCCTTAAGTACGGAAAGTAATACATTGTTGTTTTATTTGGGGGCCACAACATCGGAGATTTTTTTGTATTGTTGGTTTGGCAATGAAGTTGACATTAAGGTAAGATTTTTATAAAAATTCGTTATTATCATATCATACAGGGTGAATAAGTAAAACAGCACAGGGAGATACAAAAAGTATGGAACTAAGCGTTGTTTGAAAGGGAATGTTTGAAAAAGTGTTTTGAATTTTTTTTTTTTTTTTAAGTTATGTTAAATAGAAACATTACGTTTTTTTGACAAATGTAATTATACTTAAATTGAAAAGTGAAATTTAATTTTTGCAAAACAAAACAAAAAATCTAAATATTTTCTTCAAATTTTATCACATTTTTATAGCACTGTATTTTTCTGAAAGCGTATAGTTGAATCAAAAAACGCTTGGTTCCATAATTTTTATTCACTCTTTATAACTGTCCTTCCTGTGTTTCCGCGATAGATTAAAAGGGGCCGAATTTGCTATTAAAAAATTGTCAACTAAAAAAGCATGCTTTACTACTATTATTTCTTCTATTTATACAAATTTTGTTTATTTTAAAATAAAAAACAAAGATTTTTTTAATCGAACCTATTGAAATATTCTGGATTTTTATGCAATAATTAAAATTCTTTGCAACGCCGGTTTTCGGTTTTTTTTAATTGTGAAAAAACTAAAAAAAATAAATATTATATTCAATCCTCTATGTTAAAATTGAATTTTATCTACTCTTTTCTTCATGTTAAAATGAAATTTTATCGTCTAGATGATAAAAAATACATCAATTGTTGTATATCTGCGGTTGTTAGTTGCTAACGATCTTTGACATTAGATTTCATTGTTGAATTTTACATTATAAATATCGAGCAAATTGACTACAAAATTAGTGAGGATTGAATAAAATTTTATATTATACACGACGATAAAATTTTCATTATCTTTTCGTGCATATTAGCGTCTCGGCTGACGCCTCGACGCTAAATTGCTCTCAACGATAAAATTCAGTTTTATCGTCTTGCATAATAAATAACTATTATTTTGTACTCAATGTTAAAGAGTGCTTTTATCAACTAATTTCAGTAGATAAAGTAGTCTTTTATCGTCTAGTGAAATAAAGTAGTTTTTATCTACACCACTTTGACCAGTGTATTCATCGTCTTGTATAATAAATAACTATTTTTTATCCGCAAACATCATAAAAGTGACTACTTCTATCACTAAATGTCACCAGTAAAAGTTTTACCTTTTACTCATGGAGTAAAAATTCTATTTTTCCATCTTAGCGTTTTTACTTTTAAGCGTTTTTTTTCTTGTTTTTTTTGCTGCTTCAGCATTTTCTGAAGAAGTACATTGTAGATTATCAGCATTCAACATTTTGTACTACCAACTGCACTAATTAAATTAATAAACACTTTCAAAAATCTCAACACAAATTCCGATACTGTTTATAAGCGTTGTTATAATTTCATTACTTGCAAAGCGTCTTGATTAATTCGTTCATTTACTTGCTAATCATAGTGTTGCTGTTTACTCACTAGTGAAATACGTTTCTAAATAAAATTTGTTGTTTGAAGTAAAAGTGAGTTTATGTGGCTCAGCTGAAAAATTTGCCTCACTACGTTCGACAAAATAAACGTTCAGCTTCGTCGCATAAAATGCATTAGGCGTTTGTTGGTCAATTTTAAAAATAAACATATTTTTTGTAACTTTCGATTGCAAAAAAAAATCGTCTAATTTATAACTTCTCTCTCCATACTATTCAATATTAGCAACTTAATTAGCACTTAATCAGAATTTTAATTAAAACTTTAATTGAATTTATGGAAGCTTATTAACTTATAATACACAAATTTTTGACTGTATTTTAGTTTACACACAAAAGCCTTTTTTCTATTTTAGAGTAGTAAAATCCCTTACTCAGCTTTCGAATCGGACTGGACTGGAGCACCGATAGAAGCAAAAAAGAATCTTTTAATTTTTATTCTAAGAACTCAAAAACCAATCAGAATGTCAGCAATCAATCTGTTCTCTCTTTCGTTGGCAACTTTCACAACCGTAAGTTTTTTTTTAATATTAAAAGTTTTTACATAAAAGCAATTTTAGATTTTGAGAACATCTTGGTCATATTTCGCAGTGCTACGACAAGTGAATGGTCAAGATTAAAAAAAATAGTGACTATGCATTTTTTTCACTTTATCCTAGTATGTAGTTTCTAGAGACTTGAAACAACTTTTTAGGACCTCTCCTAGTATAATTTCAAATATAGATTTGGTCACGTATATTGTAGTTACTACTGAATAAAAGACCACATATCTCTGCATATTTTTATTTATCCATCATAATTCTAAAATTCCGTTCGAAAGCGCTGAATAAACAAACGTGAGACCTGTGCGGCCATACCACACCTTCATTATCAAGAACCTAAAAATCACTTCGCACCAGCAGCACAGTCAACAAAAATGAAGAATTATGAGCTGTTTACCCAACCCTTGTACAAACAGAGATTAGACCCAACAACTGACCAGAAACGTGACCAAAACGCACCATTAGACCATACACCTGTGGAAAACGTATACATATAGGTACCCCGGAATTGACACAAACAATGAAGTCAATATTCAATGGCACTTCTCTTGCATTTTGGGGAAACTATCTCGATCAGCGACCATAAAATTTTATCGCTACTTCAGAGTCTTTTATATCCTTATTTCTCAATGGGCATTAGGTCGTTATTATTAAAATTGTGCGATTTTAATAGTCCATATATTGCGTGAAAATCTTTTCTTTAATAATTGTCATTCAAACTTACGAAAATATTTCTTTCTTTCTTGTTCTCTGTTTTGTGCAAATAATACGCTATTTATTTCAAGTATATTTTATTGCTCTCGCCTTAGGTGTGAATTGATGGTTGGAGTGGCGCCTAAGCTATATGCCTTAATGCCTTATCTGCACTTATAAAGTAGACACACACACTGAGGTACTAATGGAACCATCACGACTTGTGAAGAACGGCCGCGCCTCCACTACTCTGAGAGGTGGGTGTGAATTATTTGTTTTAATTTTAGAGCTTTCCCGTCAAAAGAAATGGCCGTTTGTGATACCTAGAAAGTTATTCTTCAAGTGGGAGTACAAATTGTAAGCTTATAGCTTAGTTTTTGGCCAAAAGTGGTTCACATGAATAAATCAATATTAAGAACCAATTTAAAAATTCCTTTGTAAGTTGATTTTCAAATATTATTTATTTTTGGAAAAATACAATTTGGTGAAATACATAATTTGGCTCACGAATTTACATAATAATGGCCACGAGGCTTCACTATTAAAAATAAGCTAAATTAGTACCTATTTCTAACAAGAAGGATATAAAGTATTTTTTTTCAATCAATGAAAAAATAATCAAACAGCATTCTATAGATCATGCTATTAATTTCAAGTATTTACTAGACAATTATGTAACTGGACACTTTTATTATACAAACATAAGGTGAAACAGAAATAAGTACATCAATTTTGATAAGTCGGGGTATTTGTCACATACAAATTTTAAGACGCACGTTTCTAGAATCGGTTTTTTTTCGATTTTATAACTTGATAAAACGTTTAGCAACTTTTTGACATACAAAGGCAATTCCGAAAGAAATCGATCTATGAAGCAAAAAAAAATTTCCATACAATACTAAATAAATAATAACAAATAAATGCTGGTTGTGTTATTGTGTATTATTGACAAGACACACTAAGTTTAAATAACAGTTCTCTTAGCAGAAAAACCAAAACCTTTTTATCTTTGATTTTACGCCAAAACTGCAAAGGAAAAAAAGCTTTTGCTTTACTTGAAACCAGCAAATTTGTTATTAAAACTTCATTATTCTAACTCAGTAGAACGAAAAGTTTATTTTTCTCTTGATTTTGGACTTTTTTTTGCTTTCTTTTTCTCTGCTTCCTATCATATTAGCGGTTTTATTATTTTGACAATGATGTCAATTTGACAAATGAGTTTACGCAAGTTAAATAACAAGAATGTTTGTGTAAACCATAATTTTAATAAACAGCAACTCAAAGAAACAGCTTTAAGATAAAAATCCAAAGTCATTTTTAACAAGAAGTATCATTATTTATTTAATAAATTAATTGTCATATAGTTGTCAAATAATTAAAACCGTCAATGTGATAAGACTTAAAAAGCAGAGAAAAATTATTCTAGGTCCAAAATCAAGAGATGGTAAATATGGCATTACCCCGAGTGCTTATGTATACGATCGAGAGGCGCCAGCCTCGAGATTGGATAAAGCACAAGGGGTAATGCCATTACCACCGAGGTTTGTATGCTATTTTATTCGCAATCACATTATTTCCAGTCAAAAATTTGAGCAAAATAAAATTCTAACAAAGTTAAGGTCCAAACGTGGTAGGCCATCCAAATGGCGTTTGATTTTTGACATTTCAAAAATGTCAAAGAAAATATTGAAATAATGTGTAAATTTGATTTAAAGTCGTCGAAATGTAGCAACGTACTCCCCCAGAATTAAGAGAAACTGCTACAAAAGCAATTGAATACAAATTTTGCGAAATATTATGCGTAACTTCTCAATTTGAAAGAAAAAATTTCCGGTATTTTTCTAATTTTAAGGTTGGCTATCGTGCATATTACCGCCCAAGAGAAGCAATATTATTACTCCTCATGAGATTTAATGATGTGTTTCCCACCCTTTAAAAGGTTAGTAATCGGCATATTACATTAGTGATTGTGAATAAATGAATTTTTCTTTCTACTGAGTTAGAATAATGAAGTTTTAATTACAGATTTGCTGGTTTCAAGTAAAGCAAGAACTTTTTTTCCTTTACAGTTTTGGCGTAAAATCAAAGATACAAAATTTTTCCTCTTGTAAACCCAATCCGGGGACATACTGTATGTACAATTAATGCTGTGTAGTATGGAAAAATCTCATAAAAATTTAAAAGTTTCTAAAAAAAAAAGTGTTGAAAATTCCGTCCTAAAGAGTCGATTTAGCACTTACAGAGTGTTTCAAAAGTTGTGTAGAAATTATAGAGATAGCAGAGATCTAAAAATGCAAAAATAACTCAACTTGCCTTATTGGTATAGTTTTTGAAATATAAAGGCTTTTAGTCGCCGAATAAATTTAAATTTGGGGGTGCAGCCTTAAACTTCAACAAAAATTGTGAACAAATATGATTTCTTAGATTAGTTTTTCTAAATCTACTCGTAATAATGTCTAAAAAAATGAGTTAAATTTTGCAAAAAGATTCACAGAAAGAAGTGACCTCATATCAAAAAATAAAAATTTCGCAAAGATTTTTTTCGATGATACCAACGAATTTCATTAGCTCAAATGTGACCGACTATTAACAATGTTAATTTCGAAATAAAGTAGGTACTCAAAAGATGCAAAATTCGTTTAGGCTGCATCTTTTAACTTCCTAAAACGGAAGTTGAACACTTTATATCACAGAAACTATAAACATTCGGATAAGGCACTTGTCTTATAAGCCTAAAAAAGTCAAATAACTCAAAGTTGAGTTATTTGACTTTCTTAGATTTATGCTAGCACTTCTTAAAATTTCTCACAGCTACTAAAGTCACCCAGTATAATATTTTCAAGCAAAGATAAATAAATTTTGTCAAATTTGATCAAGGTAAAAAGAAAACATGTGCTGAGAAAAATAATGTGTAACAGTTATTGCTTTTAATGAGTCGTGTTATTGGTTGAAACTAGTGTAGTTATTTCTTCTGCACACTGTATAGCTACCATAAAATGATTACAATTGTTCTTAAATTATTGCCTAATGATTTATATTTTTTAGTGGGATCTTACAGATAATATCAATTTATTAAAACATTGTACGACGTAAACAGAAAAAATAAGCATTTTAAGTGGACATGTCCGGTTATTTCGCGCTATGTGTCAGGAAATCCTTATTACATTTCGCACAACGCAAATTCTTTTTACTAAAAAAGTTATTCGACAAGTGACAAATAAACCCTGAAAATGAAGCACATGGGTGTGCAGGTGTATCAAATCCTCTTTAAATTTGTGGTGAAATTAATGCTAGTCGATCAATGTTAACGAATTCAGATAGCCCCAAGTGATGAGCTCCGCAGCGGAATGTAGGCATTTATTACCATCAACCCCAAAAAGGTAGCTCAAATTAACAGGCTACTTTATAAAAACAAAAAATATTCGAATATTAAATGAGATTATAAAAGGAAGCGCCTCAAATTATACCTAAATTTTTTCGCACACACAATGGAATGTTGCTGTAATGACAAATAAATTATATGGTACCTATGGTAATTTTTAAAACAGTCGTCGAAATTTACAAATCTTTTCTAATACATATACGGTCGTAAATAGGGAATTAATTACAAGCTTAAACAAGGTGCTTGAAAACTATATTAGTTAATAAATTCTAGTACCACAAACATGACTTATTAACGATTATTAACATTATACAACAATGCAAAGTAAGAATAAGCAGAGCGAATAATCTGAAAAGAGCAAATTAATTTATTTAAAAAACAATTGGGACACAATTACCGTCATAAATGTGCTTAGAGAAAGAGCAAACAGATTTATTGCAGTAATTTTAATAGGCCGTTTACATCTTTCACAAAGAATGAGAATTATTCTTCTAATTGTAACCGGTTGCTGGTACCAATCCGACTTATAGATTGAGTAAGAAATTCGGTTACTCTGTAAAAAACTGTAAAATTTGTTTGCATATTGTTTAAAACTTGCCTTGACTTCAACTTCATTGCCGTAATAACAGTAAAGTAAGATTTCTGTAGTAATTCCGAGAATATAATTTAAATGTATTGCTGCAATGCCACTCAGAGGGTTAACCTAATTGAAAAAATAATATATAAAATGTTTAAACAACTGAGGTGAATTTTACCAAACTCAATTGAAACATTGTAAGGGCAAGAACCATAGTACTTGTGGCAAATTGGCCCAAAATTATCATATTAAAAATATTGTTACTCTCTTTGGCATAACTAAAAAAAATATTGAGTATTGTTTTGTAACTCAAGTATGATCATTACTTTACAATTTTCTTGTGATGTTTAACACAATTGATTAATTGTGTGTTAAAATAGTCCGAGCTTCCGCAAAGATTTTTCAAGTTGTCGCAAAGAATGTCACACTGCGTTCCAATGTAAACCATCAAAGCCATCGTCATCGTATCCATATTCAAATTTGCGATAGTTATAACCCAAATGCACACAACTTGGTATAAATAAACAATACAGTAGTTTAACATGGAATTTGTCTGAAAAGGATACCAAGCCACGAATGGAAATCTCTGTTCTTCGTTGAAACACGGAGCAATGGACCACAAAAACACATTCATTGCAACTATTACAGAGAAAACAGTGTAAGACAATTTCCATAAACTCAAAGACGGTTGAACTAAATCCAATTGAGCGCCGGATTTTGGCAAAAACTCCGGACTGCTGAGAACCGCCAACATCTGTTTAATCATTTTTAAATTCCTGACAAAGAAATACATTTTTGCAGCTGCCATGATGTTTGTTGTTAACACAAAAACCGTGTTTGCTAATGCTTCCAAGTCGGAGTAGACGAAATAAATGAGGATGAGTTGGGAGAGATTGTGGCCACCAATTATAAAAATTGCGTTAAATATTGCATAACACGTGTAAATATTTGCTTTGTAAAATTCTGCTTCGGGCCATAGTCCCACACATTTTAACATAAAAAGATTGGTACTGATTGTTGTCGTCCAATCAAATTCTTTCAATCCTTGAACACGTTAATAACAATAAAAGTTTTTACCCAATTTGTAACCCAGCTACCTACTGCCATTTAACAACAATTGTTTTACAACCACACTTGACAAAGTTCAATTTCTAAGTGAAAATTTCCTGCTTTCACTAAAAATTATAGCCTTCAAAAACGAAAAGTTGAAAAATTAATATAACTAATGCAATATATATTGAAATTACACCGCAACTGAAATTCCGTGAAACCATCAATTATAACCTTTGGTAATTAGGATTCAGCTAACTGCTTATTAAATTTTCTTTTGATGCTTAAATGTTATCTCTCATTACTTTTCGTGAGAAAATAGACAGATGCATTAAATAAGTATATTCAAACATGTTTTAAATTTAACACAGGCTCAACTAAGTCTACTTTTATTATGCAGTTTGCGTGAGAAAAAGAATACTGATAATTAATTAAAAATTGTTAGGGTAATTTTCTGTCTTGAGTCAATAATAAAGCATCCTCCCACTTTCCACACCAAGCACCACGTTATAAGCTTGTTATCATAATTATTACAGTATAATAATCTATTAAATTTGTTTCACAACCAACTAACATACTTACCAGCAAGAATTCAAGTACATTAAGTGTAAAAATTAATTAAAAACTGTGTTTTAAATACTACTTTTTTGCAAAAATATAAGGGTGTTTCGTTTTTATTGTTACAAATTTAAGCAAGTGATAGGATATTCAATTTTAAGATAAAAGTTTCCTATAAACATGTATCGAAAAATATTAAATAAGGGAGCTACATCCCCTGAAACGGGAGCAGCTTTTAATGGATTTCTTGAAATATTTCAGCAACCATTGTAAATAAAGTTTCAAAATTTGGTTCAACTGTTAACCTTTATACAACCAAACGAATTCAAAGATAAAATGTCGAAATTTTTAGTCAGGGGCGTCCTAAACTGGGGGGCTTAGGGTAAAAGTACCCTAACTATTTTGGCTATAGGTTCGTGCCACTTTTAGCCACAAAATTCTAAATTTCATAGTTTTTTACAAAAAAAAGGTCTCTTGCGATTTTTCGATACAACTTACTGTTTTTAAGTAAAATCAATTTACAATTTGTCTTACAGACCATAAAAAGAATAAAAATTAAAAATTAAATTTGTTTCACCGTTTAAGACACCCGTGATTAAAAATTTTGACAACTGCACTACTCTCTTTCAGTGTTGTTTTCAAATCTGCAATTTGTTGGCAAATATATTTTTTTAAAAGAACCTCTTTTTAAGCATGACTAATTAAAATAATTTTTGATGTAAAAAATCTTTATTTTTGTTATCGAAACACTAGACATTGCCATTTGGGAAAACCCTCGCCTTTTAAAAAAATAAAAATAACTTACGCTTGTTGTTCAACAATTCAATTTGTTCAAAAAAATAAATAAACAACTTGGTAATTAGAGAACTGCGAAAATAAAGTGTAAATAATGAGAAATTAGACTGTTCAAAATAGTATCAAAAATTTTAATTTTTTCCTCTTTTACTGAGTAATCTTATAATCTTATAAACAATAAGCAGATATTTGTTCAATTGTTTTCTGATTTTAAATTGCATAACTGATATATTTTGCAAAAAAAAATTCAAATTCTCTTTTGTTTTTCTACGATTTGAACAATATAAATTACGTTCCACACTTCAATAAATTTGACTTTTTAATTTTATGTTAGAAATATTGAATAAAATGATTCAAGGTTGTTAGGTAAGATCATAACAGCGATTCTTAATTCTTTTTGACAATATGCAAGGTGCTTTCCATAATTTTACAAGCCTGCGCTTGTAAAATGCAATCAGCAATATATAATCCTGTACGACGTTTATGAAATTTTGAAAAATTGTATAGTTTTCTGTAATTTGTAGACCCCTTAATGTAGAAAAAAACGAGGTATAACTGCTAATAATATTATTGTAATGACTAATTTGTCAACCTTTGTCAAGGGTTTCCAAAAACAAAATAATTAAGGGTTGCTTTTAGAATCCCTGGATAAACCCCAGATTAATTATTCGTGGTATTATTGCCATAGTTACAATTATTACAACAATGCATATGTCAAAATTTATGATCAGAGTAAGTTTATCTGGCAATTCTACAAGACACAGGTCTGGTAAAATTATGTGAAACACCTTGTATAAAAATCTCGATAGCTTTCCAACAAATTTTTGATGTACTGTTACCAAATTTATATTTTCAGAAAATCTTAGCATCTGAACAGGGTTTTCTTCACGTTTTGCTTATTAGTTTTAAGACTTTAGTTATTAATTAATATTTTGTATGTATTAGCTTCTATAATTATTTTTTTTTTGTGAAGAGCTATGTCTGCCTAAAGAAAGTTGATACATATAGGGTGAATCATTTGCTTCCAAAAAATAAAAATTAATAAAAAAATGTGATCGTGTTTTGAGATTAAAATGTTTTGTTTTTAAGTTATGCAATTTTTTTTATCAAAATTGCAATTTATGTATGTCATTTATTATTCATCAATTAATTTTCCAAAAAAATAAATAGTTTAAGCAAAAAACGTTTGGTTTCAAACTTTTATTCAACTAGTAAGTATATTTATTTTTTGTTTGCAAATTGAGAGTAATTCAACGGTTTTTTACCACCCAAGTGGTGGTGTGGTATACAGGGCAATTCAGATAAGATAATGAGCCTGTCGATCTGGCGATTCAATCCAAAAAACAAATTTCATTTACGCCTTTGATCCAATTTAAATTAGGATTTGCAAGTTGAATCCAAGTTATCATCTTATGTCACTCTGTCATCAGTGCAGAGAACGATCATTAGTGCCATTCAATTCTCGCGGAATGATAGAGCAATTAGAGAAGTCTTTTCGGTGTAAACCCAATACAAAATGTATGAACGAATAAAACATTAAAGGTAGGTAAACAGTTTTTTTTTTAAATCATAAATTGCTTGTCAAAGCACTGTCAGAGCAACATAAGATAACTTGGATCGCAAATGCAAATCTTAATTTAAAATTAGATCAAGACGTAAACGAGATTTGTTTTTTGGGTTGCACCGCCAGATCGTCAGGCTCAATATCTTATCTGAATTGCCCTGTAGTTGCTTAATCTCGTAACTATAAAACAATGATGAAAAAGTCGTAAAAGAAAACAAATACATATACCTATTTCACATTATACAAAGTGATTCAGATAATTGATGTTCTTAGTTCTTCTCGTTTGTACCATTCGTGTTGTATGAATTTGAAAAATCGAGGCATCACTCGACATTTCATTTCAATGAAAAAAACGTATAGTGAATAATGACTAAAATTATAAATCTTATAGGACAGAAGATGATCAGTCTGCAGTAAAATGCAAATTAGGGTTTCCTCGGTTTAAGATGTTTATTGCTCACTTCGTCTCACTTTTCAAAACAGATGTTGCTATAAACATATATGGAGTGTAAGCAGATATAGCAATAAACATCTTAAACCAAGAAAACCCTAATTTACATTTTACTGGAAACTGATCATGTGATCATTTTTTGCCCTAAGCTGCATTGTTCTAAGATTTATAATTTTAGTCAACATTCACTATTTCATTTCGACTACTATAACTAGTTGCATTTAAAACAGTTCGTAAGGGTAGTAAAATTATGTAAATTATCTTGTTTTATATATTTATGTATGTATGTAGATGGGAGACTCATATAATAATATGATGTTTTTCACAAAACTGTTTGACTAAAATTTATTTACACAAATAATAGGTAAGTACATTTTACATTTTTTATTACATTTTCATTGAAACTTTTCACATAATCTCAATAAATGCTTAATTTTAAATTAATCTATTTGCATAACTTTCATTTTTAAAATACAAAGAATCTAACAGGCAAACGTAAAACATACTTCATAAAATTCGAGACACTTTATGACTATTTCTGATTACACTTCTATTTGTACTAGTATAGTATAGGTAATAAAGAACATAAATTACTCGTAAAAAAGTAAGTAATCCATTACAAAACCACTACTCATGGCTATAAGGTAACATAACAAAGAGTAAGTGTACAACAAAAAATCCAAATAACTGAACAAAACATACAAATGATAAACATGTTATAAGTATTATTACAAAAACTCCAATTTAAAAATAAATATCTGCTGAATTAAAACGTAGATACATTCAGTTTGTTTTTTAATCTTTTACAGTAGTAAGTTTTCTGACGGCAGTACATGTTGATAAACTGCCTTCAAACAATGAAATATCTATCGAAAGAAATTATGTTTTTTAGACAGAGAAGCAATGGTCCCTTACAAACCGTAAAGAATTTAATAACCATTTTGCACTTTTTTTGAAACAAAGGTAGTTGAATCCTGTTTTTTCCAATTGTCTACAAAGTAACAGAAGTAAGCGTACGCCACTAGGAAGAACTTCTTCAAAATTAAAATCAAACAATAAAATATCCATTACTCTTAGCGGGAATATTAGCTTCACTGGTGCTTGATATTTGAAACAAAGCTCAAACTTCATTCTCATATTACCTTCTTTTTGGAAAACACTTTTAAGCAACATGAATTTTGTCAAACTTAGAGGAGAAACAGTTGCAAATAAAGCTATGTTGAAGATGCTAGGCTTCAGTATAAGTGTGATTTTTAATAACGTAAGAAACTGGTATTTGATAGATAAGTGTAAAGCAATTGTCTTTGATGTCATCTGAAAAAAAACACGAAAAAAATTGTGAAAGAAAAAAATTAAGCGGATTTTAACTCACTTTTGCTTTAACTAACAACTCCTTGTTACACATCAAAAACATGAAACCGATTGTAACTCAATTTAACATTCTTGATATTTATAGTATCCAATAATGAAAAATTACTTTTTGCTCCTGCGCTTCATAACAAAATATAAAATTCTCGATAAAATTACTGATTAAAAAAAATTGAGTTTAAAAATTAATTTTGATGAAAACAGAAATATTACTCGTTCTCCTTAATTAAAATAAAATTTTTATTAATTAAGACTCACTTGCCTATTGCTATATCATTTTCATTAATACTTAAAAATCAACTAAGACCATTTTTCGTGAGA